TTCTGAATGTTGCTGTTGGTCTTTCAGACAAGTCTGGGAGAGGCCAAGCTGGCCAGAGGATGGGAAGCCCCTTTTGAGGAACTGAGTTGTACGCCCTCTTGTTGCAGGTGGGGAAACTGAGGCACAGAGAAGGGCAGGGTCCTGCCCAAGATCACACAGCACATCAGGGGACTCTATCTTGGGCCCTGCTGCTTGGTCCAACCCATCCCTACAGCTCTCTCCTGACCACCCTCGACCCTCCGGGTACTAGAGCCTAGAGAGGGGCAGCTGTCGGCCGTGATTTCTCACTAACCTCCCGGCAAAGACCCAAAGCTCCTGGGACTCACAATGCTCCCCAGTTGCTTCCAGAGGCCAGGCAGGACACCCTGGTGCACAGCGCCACCTGGTGGTCAGCGTTTCCCAGCAGTTCGCGGTTTCTGGACAAGGTGGGGCTGTGTACATTAGTAGGGGGTTCCTGGTCCCCATCCTCAAGCACCTCACTTTACAATGGTCTTTCACATCCTTCTCATACACCCGACTGCAAGGGAAGAAAAAAGAAAGAGCACAAAAGGAAAATGGACAAAATATAGAGTCTATCTCACAGACATGTGTTATGGGACCAAAAAGAAAAAGAAAAGCTAGGACTTAAATAAAATGGAGGGGAAAAGACAAAAATAATCGAGAGAGAGAGAAAATTTTTAAAAAGAAAATAGAGAAAATATTCACACCAGTCAGGCAGAACCCAGCCTAGAAGGGCAGGGCCAGCGCCCATCACCAAGACAATCAATCCCAGCCCCTGCCTCCAGACTGTCTTTGTCCTAAATGTGGGCACCTGGGAGCCAGTGTTTGGGCTGGAAGCTGGTAGGCAGGACCGGGCCAGGTAACCTCACCCTCTGAGCACTACACGATCCCTGGCGCCACCTGCTGGGTGCATAGGGCACCACATTTATCACATGGAAGTTCAACTGGGGGCCCTGGAGACTGACTGCTGGCCCCCAGCAACACAACCAGGTGGGTGTAACCATCCCCATTTCTCAGAAAAGGAAACTGAGGCTCCTAGAGAGATGAGGACTTTCCAAGAGATGGCTACTTATTGAGGGTCTCTGATTTCAAAGGCCTTAGTCCACACCCTCACTGCCCTGAACAATCCAGCCCAGTCCCTGTGCAAAGCCGGCACAGAGGCGCAAGCTCTGGCTACTAGACAGTGGAAGAAACAGGCTCAGACAGATTTGGGCACCTGGACCCAGCTGTCTTCCTGGGAGAGCAGAGAACCCAAGTTCCCAGGCTCATCGACTGCAGGGTTCACCTACCTCTTGATGTTCCATTGGTCAGCACAGCAAGTCCTGGCCACAGGTCCTCCCTCAGCTGATATCACCATAGTGACTCCAGGGCTGAGGACCTGGACAGTCAAACGGCCAGCTCTGGCCACACTTGCCTGGCCACAGAGCCAGGCGGGTCAGGTAAAGGGGCATGCTGGGCCCGGTGAGGCTGTGGGGAACTGGAGAGCTGGTACCTCGACCAAAGGCTGTGGCCATCAGCTCCAGTCGACAAGTGGCCAGAATTTGGAAGTAAAATCTGCAGGTTCTTAAATGTGACTGTCCCACTCAAAATTATAAAACCACTATATCAGGAAAAAGAACACACATACACATCGATATCTACATTTGAGCCATCGACCTGCCAGTTTGAGACCTCGCCTCCTGTAAAATGCCCTGCTCCAGCTCCACTTTGTAACTGTGACAACGGCCCTCTGGACAGAGAAGCGTTCACCCCCACTTGGCAGAGGCAGCTCTGTGCCTGAGAAGAGAGATGACTTGCTCTAGGCCACAGAGACCCCACATCAGCTCCAAACCAAAGCTGCCCTGTCCATCACCACAGGACTCACTGTTCTCCTGCGGGCCCCCAGGGTGCAGAACAGGCAGAAACCACTGCTTCCTATTAAAGTGTCTGCCTGAAGGCAGGCATCAAATCCTCCTGTTGACCCCAAATGTAGACTGAGGTGACAGCCCTTCCCTTAGAGTGATTTTTCTGGATCCAGAACTGGCCTCAGATAATCCCAGATCATCGGTCCGTCACTGTGGCGACATCCCACCAGACTCCATTGTCACCGATCGCAGAATTGCGTCTTTGAAACCTGCCATTGAAAGACACCAGGCTCCCTCTCTGGGAGAAGCCCAGTCTGCGCCTTGTGAGAATGGGCTCTGGGGCAAGTTAGTTTGGAAAGAAAAGAGACGAAAACAGAATGGCCTCTAGTCTAAAATGGCAGGACTGGTGTGGGCATCATGCCTCAGGAGGGTCCCAAGGGTGGCCCGAACAGTGTGGGTGCCTTTAAGAGGAGGGAGTCTTTCCTAGATGTTGGTGCTTCCCAAAGTGTGGCAACGGAGGGAGAGAAAAGAAGGGAAGAAGGAGAAGGACGAGGGAGAGCAGGTGGAGAGGGGGGTTGGAACCGGAGGGAGACACGGAGGGAGGGAGGCACCGAGCAGCCTAGTAAATCTGCAGGTCAGACTCCGCAGGGACTGAGATTGCGCTGGCTGGGCGGACGGCCCCGGCAGCTTCACAAAGAGGGCCCGGGGCCCAGGCAGGTGGAAACCAGCTCGCAGCCCAGGCCCTGGGCCACAGGTCTAGGTACGCGCACGGCGTCTGTGCCGGGGTGTATTCTGATTGGTCTGTTTGCAATCCTGATTCTGACTGGCCGGGAGCCAGTGAACCATGTGTTGAGTATTTAGACCCTATGCCATCCTAGCCCTGATCCCAGCCGCCAGCCGCCAATGGGCCTGGCGAGGTGGGGAGGAGGAGAGCCCAGCGATTTCCTTGGGAACACTTTTTTTTTTTTCTTTTTGCTTACTTTCTTTTTCTTTTTTCTTTTTTTTTTATCCTCACCCGAGGACACTTTTTCATTCTTTGTTCAGATAGAGCAGGAGGGAGAGAGAGAGAGAGAGAGAGAGAAACATCGACATGAAAGGGACACATCGAGTGGCTTCCACCCGCACGACCAACCAGGGCCGGGGACAAACTGCAACCGAGGTACGTGCCCTTAGCGGGAACCGAACCCAAGTCTCTCCGGACCGCAGGCCAACGCTCTAACCGCTGAGCCAAACCGGCCAGGGCCCAGCGACTTCCTTTGGGCCTCCCCTGACCCCTGGGCACATGTAGAACCAGGAACTCGGGCGTGACACTCAGGAGCAGGTGCCACAATTCCCACCACGCAGTGAAGTGGGGGGTCAGAATCCTCAGTGAGAGTGAAATACAGTATGAAGAGCGTTCTTTCTCTGGCGTTCCTGAGGCACCGGCCTGCAGTGCCACCCTGGGCCACCCTCACGCGCCTCCACAAGGGAGAGCGGACACTGTCCCCCTTTCATAGGAGCAAACCGAGGCTCAGCGGGTAACATCACTGCGAGGGGTCTCTGGTTCAGTGGCCCCTACCCGCTGGTCTTCGAGGCCTCGGCTCATTCAGTGCGAGGCTGGCCACCCCACCCCCGGGCCGCCAGGGTCAGCCCCAAAGGAACCACAGATCAAGATGTGTGTATTATAAACTGACTTTTAATAATAATAAAAAATCTATCATGGATTTAATGATCAGAATCTGTACATTTTAGAGTAAACCAGTGCACGAAGCCTCGTCCTCAGGAGCCCCTCCCGCCTTCCTGCCCCGGGAAAGGCAGGCCCCTGCCCGTGTCAGCCTGACCAGTGTCCAACGGGCCGCCTCTCGCCGTCCAGGAGGTGGCCCCGAGGGCTCTGGGGAACCCACGCCTGGTCTCACCAGCAGCCACGGGCCGAAAGACACCCCGTCTTCTGCCTCGGCAATGGCCTTTCCCTGCTGGAGGACAGGGGCTGGAGGGGGCACTCTTCGGGGGAGTCCCTGTGTGGGTGTCTGTGCCCAGAAGGTGGGCAGATTGGCTTCCTGTCTCTCTGGTTGGCTGAGAAGTCCCGAAAGTCCGGCTCGGAGCTAACATCAAAAAATAAATTACAGAAGCTACCATCCGGGGTTTCCCCGTGGCCCTCCTACCTGCAGGTCAGGTGGGGGGGGGGGTCCCTCCCCTCAGTCCCTAGACCTGGCCCAGCCACCTCTCGAACCCTTATAGCTGGTCCTTCAAAGAGAGCAAAGTAATTCATTCTAATACTGACCAACTAACGGGGAGCCAGGAGCGGGAGGGGAAGGGAACCATAGTCTGTACTTGTAAGCGATCCTTATGAGCCTAATATTTAAAAAGATGAAATACTGACATTTTAAAATTTTTCAATAATTTAGTTTTTCTTTTTTTTCTTTTTCTTTTTTTTTTTGCCTTAGTAGAATGGGAAAACGCGTCAATTCTACCTTATGTTGGTCCCCTGTTAGACAATATACCTTTCTTTGAAATTTAAAATGTCAAACATATAATCATACAACCTGAAAAAAAAAAAAAAGTCTCGACAACATAAGACTCCAAAATAAACCACAGAGACTTCACACCATATAAATAAAGTCAGAAATCTGGTGCCCAGGGCTGCTGGCTCGAGCTCCAATGGCGGTGCCGTCGGAAGCTGGCGTGGCTTTCGACTGTCCTCTGGTGCCAGGTGTTGTACCCTGTGCCTCTGTCTTGCCCGGCAGAGGCTCGCTTTTCTGAGTCCACAGAGCAGGTTAGTACAGGGTTGGGGTGAATCTGGAAGCCAAGGGGAGGAGGGCTGGGGACACGTGTGTCACCTGGAATGTGGACCGAGAAGGAAACCAGGGTTTCCAAAGTGCAGGATGAGCCACCCCGAGGGAGCTGCGTGCCCGTGGCTTCTCCCGTGTCCCCAGGACTTGGGAGCAGGAGCCCCGGCCCGGGCTGCACCCATCAGCTCTGTAGGTCCCCAGCACCCTCGGGTTGCTGGCAGAAGTGTGGGACGTGCCGGGCCCAGCCGATCGGCCTGCTCATCTGAGTGGGGCCTCGGCCGGTCCTGGCAGGAGTGATGGAGAAGGCTGGGCAGACCCTGGAGCGGCAGGAGCAGAGGCCTCGGACCAGCTCTGAGCAGGCCGGCACGGCCCGCCGTGTCCTCCCAAGTCCCAGCTCCTCCCAAGTCCCAGCTCCAGGGCGCGCAGCCGAGCACCACGCGTCCGGGCGTTCACAGGTCTCCATCCACGGGCGGCTGGCAGAGGCGGTAGAGCCTGGTGGGCGGAGGCGAAGAGGATTAGGAGAGGCCGGGGTGGGCGGGGTCTATTATTACTACTTCAATTTTTATTTGAATTGGTAATCTGCGCCCAGAAAACAAAACTCGGAGTTTTTACGATGCAGAGTGACAAATGTGCACGCTGCCCACACGCCCCCCGGCTGTCTAGTCCTCTGCCCGCAGGCCGTCTCTGCTCCCTCCAGGCGCCAGAGCTCCACAAATACAGCCCGTCTGGGGTCTGTGAGGATACGTGTGTGGGCGTTCACCTGCGCGGGGGTGTATGTTTTTCCACACTAATGGTGGCAAATTAGTCACAGTGCTCTTAGCCCGTGAGTTTTTCCCCTTCATACAGTCTCGGGGGCCTCTCCCCGCAGCACACAGAGCTGCCTTGGTTCTCTGAACGTCTGCCCGGGAAGGATGCCGAGTTTTGCTGTCAAATAAGGAACCGCAGATGGGTTCCAAGCAGAAAGGGTTAGACCTGCTGTGGGGAGAATGAACGACGGCGGGGGACCAGACGGGGGGCCAGAAGGGAGCGGCAGGGCGACACGGCCAACAGAGAAGCAAGGCCCCCGGGCCTAGACTGCCTGGGTCCAGAATCCCAGCTCTGCCACTGACTAGCTGTGTGACCTCAGGCAAGAGACGTAACCTCTCGGTGCCTCAGCGGCCCCAAACGCCAGCTGGGGATAACAACAGTACCTTGCTCAGAGGGTTACTGCTGAGTTAATATAGGCAAAGGGGGTGAACCCCTGCCTGGAGCGTGGTAAGTTAACAGGTAAGTGTCCCGAAGAAATGCGGGTGAAAGTGCACGAGGACACCGGTGACAGGGAGGTCGCGTGGGAGCTGCTGCAGGCCCCTGCGCCATGCCTGCCTGGCCTTGACGGTGCCCTGTGCTTCCGTGAGAGTTGTAACTTCCTGGGAGTCAAACCACTTCCAAATGAAGTTATTTAAGAACTGTGGGCAGATCCTGATAGTGCACAGGGCCGCGGGGCGAGGAAGATGGGCGGAAATGAGCGGCTGCGGGGAAGTGGGCAGCACATGGCACCGGGAGCCGGGCTGAAATCAACGTGGAGGGAAGAGGGGCCCCGAGGACAGGAAGCGGCCGGAGGACGGAGGGCCGGAGGGCAGCGGGTGGCAGAGACAGGGCAGGGGGACCAGGTGGGGAGATGGCACCCATCCCTGCCCATGGCTCATGTGGGGCCTGGTCCCGTCTTCCCAGACTAGGGGGCTCCTGGGGAGGAAAAGACTGAGCGTACTAGTCGCTTCCCAAAGTGGGGTCCCCATGATGAGAGGTGGAGCCCCACATGATGACTAGGGGTTCCGCCCGCCCCGGGTGAAGCCAGCTTGGATCTTGGTATTCCTGGAGGGGGTGGGGGGGAGGGACAGCCACTCACCGCGGTGCGCCCTGGGGCATCTGATCCTTGACCCGAAGGTTTTTGGCCAGAATCTCCACCCTGGGGCCCTGGGAAGAAAGAGCCACGAGACTGGGACCTGCCCCTGCACGGAGTTCAGGGCACTTGAGCAAGTGTGTGTTGGGGGTGGGGCATGGTAGGTAACAGGCCAGAAAGAGGAAATGGGACCCTCCAGATGGGGAGAAGGGCCACATCTGGGGCTGATGACCGCCCAGTCCCCAAATGGCCCCTCACCCCGCCCTCTGCCCAGGGGCCCAGGCCAGGACACCCGGCAGTGGGGGCTGCTCACCTGCTTCCGCATGATGTCTGTGGCCTGCATGATGCACTTGGGGAGCAGCCCGTGGCTCCGCGCCAGGATGGCCGCCTGCTCCAGGGAGACACTCAGGGTGCTCCTGCGGGGGACGGGCAAGGGGGCGGCAGGTGAGACGGCACTTCCCGCCCACCACGGGGGGCGCTGAGACCCCACAGGCCAAGCACCGGCGCCCACCCAACCATCACGGCCCGGCAGGCCCCTGGCCTCCTATCCGCCTCTCCCCGGGTGGGCGAGCCCGTCCCCAGATAACTGGGGGACTTGTTCTCTACCCCCAGGTGTCTTCCTGTCTTCTCCCCGAGAGGCCCCCCTCCAGCACGCCGCATGCGGTCAGTGTCACGCAGCAGCCCCCTCCTGCTCGGTGGTTCTCCAGCGCCCAGCTCACCTCTGCATGCCCGTGCCACACATGGCGATCTGGCAGGCCCCCAAGCGGTAGCAGAGCTCGGAGGAGATGGGGATGAGGCCGGCGCCCAAGCTCCCGGCGGCACCAGGCTTGGGGTGGACGAAGGACTTCATGAGGCGACAGAGCTCATCCAGGGCGTTGATGGGACGGATCAGCTGCGAGGCACACACACACCCGGTAGGAGGGGCCCACCCGGCCTACTCCCAGAGCCCCAGCCTCACAGTCCTGAGACCAGTGCCCCCACCGCCAGCCTCGAGGCCTGAGCCGGGGAAGTGGGAACATGGGCCCTGGATGGCCCGCTCTTTCCAGTCCCCAAGAAAAGCTGGAAGATCCACCACACGGGAAACCTTCTGATTCTGATTTTGTTTGGTTTTGTTTTTTATCCTCACCTGAGGACATTTTTCCACTTTTTGTTCAGATAGAGTGGGAGGGAGAGAGAGAGAAACATCAACGTGAAAGGGACACATCAAGTGGCTGCCACCCGCACGACCCAACCAGGGCCGGGACAAACTGCAACCGAGGTACATGCCCTTAGCGGGAACCGAACCCGGGTCTCTCTGGACCGCAGGCCGACGCTCTAACGGCTGAGCCAAAGCGGCCAGGGTGAAACCTTTTGATTTTTAAATGTTAGCAACACATTTGAAACAAGCAGACAAACAACGCTGCATGGCCCAGCCGGCCCAGCCCCGGAGAAGGCGGAGGAAACAAGGGCGTGAGGGAGGCACAGGGAGTGGGTGCCAGCAGAAGCAGCTCACCCAAGGGACCCCACAACGGAGGGGAAGCAGCCAGAATTCCTAGAGTGAGGAGGGAGTTATCCCAGAGGACTTCCTGGAGGAGGTGCAGAGGTCTTGGGCTGCTCTGCCAGGACTCTGGCTAGGGTGCCACCTGGAGCCCTGACCGCTGAGCCCCGCCCCGAGAGCCCCGAGGCCCGCCCAACCTCCACAGCAGGGCGATGTGAGGGTGGACGCACCTGGTCTATCTTCACAGCCGTGGTGCTGGCATCTGTGGGCAGGTTGGACCGTTCCAGGTAAAATGCCCTGAGAGACAGATATGGGTTTGGGGGGGCCACCATGCCTACCGTCCATGCAACCCCCACCCACTGCAGCTGCTGCCCATCTGCCCTCCCACAAGTCTCAGGAAGAAACCACTGAGCACTTTGCACAGCTCTCCAGGCCAGTCATCCGCTCCTGCAACAGCCCAGGGCGGAGGGTAGCAGGAAGAGGCCTCCCAGGCACCCCTCAAACGCCACCGCTCCCTGAGGGCCCATCCTGGTCAGCTGATCAGCACCTGACACTCCCACTCTCTACCCCCTTGTCCTGCACATCTGTCTCTGAATACTCTCACCACTTACCACGTTCCATTGCTCTTTGTTCACTGTTGACTGTCCATTGCCCCCCCCCACACACACACACACCCCAAGAACAGGGCTTGGCCAACTTTTTCTGTAAAGGGCCAAACAGTCAATAGTTTAGGCTGTGCGGATCAGTCTCTATGGAGACCCTACTCAACCTGTCCACTGTAGCATGAGAACAGCCAGAGATGATCCATGCGGGGAATGAATGTGACTGCGTGCTAATAAAACTTTATTGACAAAACAAGGGGTGGGCCTGTTGTCTGCTGCTCTAGAATCTACACGCCATGAAGAAAAGGCTTTATTGGTCACTGCTGGCTCCCAAGCAAGCCTGGCCAAACAGAGCCTGGCCCAGTCCCCCTAGCAGTGTCTGGACTCCTGTCCCCCATAGGTCACCCGGGCAGATACCTGAGTTTGCGGTAATACTGCTGAACTTTCTCCAGGGACTGGGCATTGATCTCCTGTTGCAAATCTTCTGCCGCCTGGCTGCCTGGAGGAGGCGGCCCCTCCATGTTCTCCAGAGCTGTGAGGGAAGAAGATGAGGCAGGTGGTGGGCTCCCGGTGTGCTCGGAGCCGTGGGTACCCCCGTAGGCCCACGCAGCACCCCACAGCTCACCTTTCGTGAAGAGCACGGTGTGCAGCCTGAGGCTGGCCCCGCTTTCCAGGCGGGAGGGCAGCTTGGAGAAGTGGTAGCTGTCCAGGTAGAAGATGACCTTCAGCGCCTGCCGGCTGCCCTCGATGTGGTAGAAGACATTGGTGTCTGCGGAGGACACGGGGGGCAGGTGGTCACACCCAGGCCAGGGAGCCCTGCCCCACCTTCATCAGAGCAGCTCAGACCTCCCTTCAGACCTCCAGTGGGACGTCCTGGGCCCTCCCTGTTCTCCCCACCCCAGAGGGGTAGCCTCAGACCCCTCTGACTTCCCAGCCTCGAGGTAGCACCCTGGGACATGAAGGCCCCCGTGGTATCCTGGGATCTCACTATTCCCCACCCCAGAGGGACAGCCTTAGCACCCCTGACCTCCCACCTTCAGGGTGGCATCCTGGGTGGTCCCTGCCTGCCCACAACAGAGCAGGGGTGTCAGACCTCCCTTCCACCCCCATCCTCTAGGGGTAGCCTGACAACCCGGTCCTCCCACACTCAGAAGAGCAGCCTCTGACCTTCCTTTCGCCTCTTTCAACAGGTCCCAATTCCCATGAATTCTTAGACCTGATACTGACTCTGCCCATCTGTGTGTGTGTGGGGGAGGGAGTGTTTGTCTTCAGAGCTCAGCTGTACTCCTCACCTGGTAGCCCAGGGCCTCCACCTGCCAAATGCTGCCCTCAACCAGGACCTGCATTTATTTACACTCACAGGGAAGAGCTATGGCAGGCGTGGCACTAATACTCCATCTGGCACCATGGCAGACATCACTAATCAATGACTAACACCCCATCTGGCACCATGGCAGACATCACTAATCAATCAATAGTTCTCCCTAAGCCCAACTTCACCTATTGATAGGCAGCCACTGACCATCATGTCCAATATGCACCCGAAACAAAATCTATTGTTCCTCTAGACTCTCACATTCTCAGCAGTGATATCCCCCACAAGGAGGTGAAAATTGGCTCTTGAGGGGATGGCCAAAGAAACCCCGCTTTTTTAATATATAAAGCACAGATACACAACAGACATAAACATACAGTACATCCGCGGTATTAAAATTTAATGGGGGTGCAGCAATTAGGAAACAAATATCTAAACCGCCTCCTTATGGAGGTGATCGTTTTAAAAAGTTGAGAATCACGGCTCTAGGGCAGGGTTCTCAGACCCTGGTGCTTCCGAGTCACCAGCGGGCTTGTCGGCAGATTTATGGGCGCTGCTTCCAGAGCTGCAGGTTCAGGTCTGGGAAGGGGCCTGAGGATTCGCCTTCCTAACAAGTTCCAGGAACCCCACTCGGAGAACCACGGCTCCAGAACCCGGCCCAGTGGGCTCAATCCTGGCCGTACCTGAAAGGCACCTGGGAAGCTTTTCTAGAATCCCAGGGCCCAGGAGCCCCCAACACACAGAGTGAGTCTGCCCCGCCAGGGCTGAGACTGGGGCCCGGGCAGCCGTATCTTTGCAAAGCTAGAGTCCAGGGCAGCCAGGGCTGAGACCCACTGGGCGAACCTCGGGCCCGGAGGGCCGGAACCACGGCTGCATTTCTCCACTGCAGCCCCAGAGCCGACTACGGTGCCTGACACGTGTTATGTGCTCATGGTCAGGGATGGATGGACGGACGAAGAATGAGTGGATGGGCAGGTGGGCAGATGGGCGGGGGATGGGCAGGGGGAAGGTGGGTAAATGGACAGGCAGATGGATGAGTGGGTGGCTGAATGGTGGGCAGGTAGAAGGAAGAGTGGGAGGGAGGGAAGAAGGAAGAAACTTAATAATGTTATAAATTCTTAGAAAATCGTACCAACTCTTCGCCCCAATAATGCAGATCTCTAGAAATTGTAATAAAAACTGGGTACTGGTTGTTGTTGTTCCATTTTAAGAATTTTTGGAGACAGCTGGGTTTATGTGTAACTAGACCCCCTTTTTCCATGCATGTTGGGAGCATGAAGTTTGAAAGCCCTGGTCAGTCCTGGGCAGCTAGCCTGGTGGCAGGGTGGCCCCCAAAGCGGTTCCTTCCACCCCAGAAGCCCGGCTCTCACACGGGGGCGGAGGAATCACTCACTGGCCACGTAGTTCTCGTCCAGCTGCTTGAACGAGAAGGTGACGTTGTCCAGCTCCGACAGGGTCACCCAGATGTCCTCCAGCATGGTCCGCTCCTCCTTCTGCAGGAGGAAGACGGGGTGCAGGAGTCTCAGATGCCACCCCTGCCCCAGGATTTCAAGACGCTATGAGTCAACACTAGTCAACACACCAGGCAGCGGGCATACCAGGCAAGGTTCCGTGTTGGGCTCTCCGGTGCTGGATGATAAATCGGGGTTGCTTGTCCTGCACCTCTGAAGGTCAGAACCCCGCTCTGCTCTAATGTGCTGGGGGCCCCCTCATCCAGACCATCCCAGCCACCTCAACCATCTCAAACCTAATAAGCCCCCAAAAGTCCTTACTTCCCTCCTCACCCCCTCCAGCAGACCCCACCTCAGCAAAGCGCACCAGCATCTGCCCAGCAGCCCGCACCCCAAACTCTGACTTCAAGGACTTCTTGACTTCTCTCCCTTCGCCCTGTACACTGCCCATCGCCAAGTCCTGATGGGCTGACCTCCATAGCACACCCCGGAGCCATCCGCTCCCCTAACCCTCCTCGGCCCCCAACACAAGACCCCGTGGTCTCTGCAGGAAGACCACACCAGCCTCTTCACAGGCCTCCCTACGCCACCCTTCCCCCGAACAAGGGGCAGCCAGGATAAAACTGGGGATCCCGAGGGAGCAGGGCAGCCTAGGGGTTACCAAGCCCAGAGCCAGACTCCTGGGGTTCCCCTGTGACTACTGCTCAAAGCCTCTGAACCCTCCCTCTGCTTCCAGAATAAAGCCCTAAGCCATACGGATGTAGCCCCATGACCTCAGTGCCCACCCCCTGGCCTGCTCCCCTCCAAAGCCTCTGCTCAGTACCTCTGTGCATGCTGTTCCCTCCGCCCAGCACACTCTTCCTCGCACCACGTACCTAGCCGCAGTCTTGGTACTAAGGTCTCAGCTCAAACGTCACCTCCTCAGAGAGGACACCTCTGACCATTAAATCCAAAGAAACTCAATCACCTTCTAAGTCTTCTGCATAACTCCCCTCTTGCCAAACTGCTTCCCACAACTAGAAAGTGAGCTTCAGAAACGCAGCACCCAGCTCAGAGCTGGGCACACCATGGTGACTGGTGAATTAATGCAATGGGCCCCGGGATCCTCATCTGAGAACAGAAGGTGAGGGCTGCCTTTCCAGACCCCCAGGTGGCTCTTTCCAGAAACCAAGTGAAAGCGATTCTCCCACCAGGCAACGCCTGTGTGCAAAGCCGGCCAGCAGAGGGCGCACCACGTCCATGCTTTCAGCCCCAGCAGAGAAAATGTCTAGGAGGCTCAGGGCTGCAGAAGCCAGGGAGCTGCGCCCCGGCACACGGGGTGCAGGAGTAAACAGCATGGAGCACCGCTGCAGGCTTCATTCCTGGGGGATGTCAGCTCTGGGCCCCAGCACCCATAAATGATGAGTCCTTGGTTCTGCCTCCTAGGGCCCAGCAGAGGGACCTGCCTTGATTCTGAGCCCCGAGAGTGGTAGGACAGTGTGACCAGGGATAAAAAGGAGATGCAGAGAAGGCAGGGAAGCCTAGCAGTTAGAGGCCTCGAGTCAGACTCCCAGAGTACGGTGTTCTCATCCTTAAAACGTGGGTGGTAAAAAATCTGCCTTGGAGCTACTGCGAGGATTAACTGAGATACTGTTTGCACTAAGGAATTTCACCTTGATTACTACAGAAGCCTACGCACTGGTCTCCCAGCTTCTGTCCTCGCCCTCACAGTCTTCCCCACCAAGGGGCATGAGTGATTGTTTCAGTGTCAAAGTCAGATCCCATCCCGCCTCTGCTCAAAACTCTCATGGTTCTCGCCCACTCAGAGTAACGGCCAAAGTCCTACAAGACCCCCCACAGTCTGACCCAGTCAATTCTCAACTCACCTCCTCCTACTGCAGTTTATTTTGTTCTGGCCACAGGGCCACCTTAAGTTTCTGAAATACTGCCTCAGGGCCTTTGCACCTGCTGTTCCCTCTGCCTGAAAGACTCCTCCCAATATCCTCATGGCTCCCTCCCTCCCCTTTCAGTTCCTAGGTCAGATGTCACCTTTTTAGTGAGGCCCTCACTGGTTACCTTATCGAAACGTTCAGTTGTTGCTGACCCACTTTTTCCTGTCCCCCCTTCTCTGCTTAACGTTTCTCTTTAGCCTTTATCACTATATACGAGAGTTTCTCAAGTGTGACACTATTGACATTTAGAGCCAGATAATTCTCGAGGGGAGAAGGGGAGACCATCCTGCGTGTTATAAGATGTTTGGTGGCATCCCTGGTCTCTACGCACCAGACACCAGTAACCCCTTTTCTCCCCTTGTCTTGACAACCTAAAACCTGCCAAGTGTCCCCTGGGAGGAAAAACTGCCCTGGCTGAGAACCTCTGGTCTACATCACTATTTTACTTGTTTATTTCCATCTCCCCCCACTAAGATTTAAGATCCCCGAGTACAACTCTGTGCTTTGCCCACAGCTGAATCCCCAGCGCTTGTAACAGTGGCACATAGTAGCTGCTCAATAAACAGCCGCTGAAAGAACGAGGAGGTGAGTGAGAGCCCGAGTGAGTAAGTAGGAGCTCCCCTGCCCGGGCTCCCAGGGCACCTGTCCCTCTTCCCCTTGCTCACCACAGCGGCTGGCGACAGCAGGGACTGGCAGTGCAGGAGGACACCGGTGGCCGCCACCTGCTCCAGCCACTTGCGGCTGGCGTCTCGGCTGCTCTCCTCGTACTCGCCGTTGTTGTTGTAGCGGTAGCTGAGGGCCGCCAGGAGCTGCTCCGAGAAGGCGCACACGGCAGCCACCAGGGCCTGGCAGAAGATGGTGTCTCTCCGCAGCTGCAGCTCTGTGTCTGGAGGGTGGGGACAGGCTTGCTGGGCAGGTTCTCTCGCACCACCAGCAGCCCCAAACCCCAAAGCCCAGGTCTACAACCAACTGCCAGCCCCAACGGGCCACCTATGGGGCCAACCTGCCAAAAATCAATCCCAGCCACCCAAAGCCAACTCCACAAACATCGATTCTCCAAAAGCAAGCCCAATTGCCGAAAAACTCAACTCTGCCTTGTGAATTTCCTAAGGCTCTCCCCAAACCTTCCTCAGCTGTATCTCCACTGGTTAGGGGGCTGCTCGACCATGACTGGCTGGACGCCAAAGCTCCATGTTTTAAGAAATGCAGGTTACCATTTTCCCTGTGTTTGAGAAGTCTGCCTTCTTCCTAACTCCCCCCTTCCTTGCCCGCTCTTGACATCATTGCAGAACTGGCCAATTTGGGCAGTCGTCCACCCCGGGTCCCGATCCTCTGGAAGGGATTATTTGCAATGACTGGCTCTAGCCAATTGGTTTTCAGTGACCTTAGACTTAGATCCTTTGTAGCTGCCCCTTACTGGAGAATTTCTGGAAAGAAGGGAGGGACAGAGAACACCTCCCAGCTTCCCCGGACCACCAGTCTGCCCCTTCCATTGTCTGCCGGGCAGAAGACCCTCCCGAGCCATCAGTCCTCTGGCTCATGTGCTCATCAAGATCCGCCCAGGCTTGGGAGGTGGCAAGACACAGGGATCCTGGCTCCAGGGCCCTGTGACTTGTCCCCTGGACTCAAGAGGAGGAAGCAAGTGAGGTCTAGGCAGTTCTTGGAGGTGCAAGAGGCCAGTGTTACTCTCCCCCACGTGCAGGCCCCGATGACCATGAGAACGTCAACCCTGGCCAGCAGAGAGGCCCTCCCTGGGCTGCAGGCATGAGCACCCGCTGCAGGGTGGCCTCTCCACAGGCGGTTGCTGATTCTAAGCCCTCACCTGTGCATTTCAGCAAGGCCAGGAGCAGCTGGTTCTTCCCATCTGCAAGGAGAGGGGTTAGAGATGGGTCAGGAGCACTTAGCACAAGGTTCAAGCAGAACGGGGCCCTCTGCAGCCCCAGCTCTGAGCCCTGTGTGGTGAAGCTCTGGGTACATACAGTTGTGCTGAGGAAGCTTTGACTGAATGTTGGGTGAATCCCAGAAACCCCCAACTTCCAGGGGATGAAACCCCAACTGCTAGTTACACCCCCAACTATTTACATAAACTCACCAAATGGAGACTGAAACCAGCACCTCCAACTCCTGGCCCAGAGCCCCCAGCCCACACTGTGTACATGCATGTGGGCACACGCTTACATGTGTACATACACACAGGTGCACATATGTTCACCTGAGCCCTCAGGCATGTATGCACACTCTACGCAGCCACAGCCCTGCACCCACACAGAGCTAAGCCCTTCTGCACACAGACTTAGCATCCTGGTCTCTTTCCTTCAAAAAACAGCTCTTAGCCCTGGCCGGTTTGGCTCAGCAGTTAGAGTGTTGGCCTGCGGTCCAGACAGACCCGGGTTCGGTTCCCGCTAAGGGCACGTACCTCGGTTGCAGTTTGTCCCTGGCCCTGGTTGGGTTGTGTGGGTGGCAACCACTCGATGTGTCCCTTTCACGCCGATGTTTCTCTCTCTCTCTCCCTTCCTCCCTCCCACTCTATCTGAACAAAAAATGGAAAAATGTCCTTGGGTGAGGAATAAAAAAAAAAAAAAAAAAAAAAGGGCTCTTAGGCCCAGAAGGGGCTTAGAAGAATCTGAAAGGCCAACTCAGAGGCCTCTGCTCCTGGGGGCTGGCTCTGAGGCTTTGCACCTCCCGCTGTCCTGGTCAAACGTCTCCCCGACCCAGGTCCTACTAAGCCAGGATCCCAGACTTAAATGCTGCCAAAGGCCCGGCAGGTAGTGTAAGATGTGCGAGGCAGACACCAGGAAGCAGGGGGCGATGGGGACTGTGGGGGACTGGAAGTCACCCCTCTCCCGTCCACGACGGCAGCTGCTACTCATCTCCACGCAGGCGTGACTGTGGGACCGCAGGCCTGTGATTGCCGGGCCTCCTGACTGTGCACGAGGAGCCAGCGATCGAGACTTTCACGAGACATCTCGGATAATAAAACACTGGTAGCCGCTTCACATTTTTATGTGATAGCATCCAAACCCACCTGTGGGCCCAAGTCTAATCAGGGGGCCCCAGCTGGTGACCTTGGTAATAACTCAAAAGAACTGAATTCAATCCCGTTTCTGAAGCTGAGAAGGAGTAAGTTCTCAGCCTCCTCAGCCTCCTGCCTCTGCAAGGAAGCCCCTGGCACCCAAAACCAGCAGCTCTTTAACCGAGTGTGTGCGGTCCCAGGCCTGCCCAAGGCACACCCAGCTCAGGAAGGGGCACGTGTTCTTCCTGTCCTCCCCTGGGCGTGGACAGACATGGGATGTGCAGCTGGACCCACTTCTGACCCTTCCACACCCCACATTAAGGACCACTGCCCCCATCACCCTGCCCTGCCCAGCTGACCTTCCACATATTTCTGAATGTTGTCCACCAGGGTCTTGATGGAGTTGGGGAGATTCCAAGGGTCCTCCTGGATGCTGATCTGGATCAAGCTCCGGCCACGGATTGTACACTCTTCTTTCTGTTTGAACTCTGGGGCAGGAAAGAGACAGAGGTAGCCCTGGAGAACAGTGGCACAAAGGCCCACGTCCCAGCACCAGATTCCAAGGCTCAGAATCCGAGATAAGGGTGCTGGCAGGACTCTTGGGTACTATCTGGTCCACAGAGGGCAAATACATGGTGAGTTCGCTACTGATTCACAGCATCACAGCCATGGCAGACATCACGCATCGATCTCAGCACGCTTTCCACGACAGACAAACCAGCCCAGTGCAGGCCTCACAAATCAATCACTGCATTCTCTTCTCCTAAGCCTAGACGTGGTCACAGAAGGATTCTCAGGTGCTACCTCCTCAAGGCCACACCAATCAAGCTGGCACATCAGTTATAACCTAGTCTAACCTTCTCTCTACACAGAGGAGGAAGCCCAGGCACAGAATGGGAAGGTGTCTTGCTTAAGTCACACAGCTGGGTAGTGACAGAGCTTGGATTTGAACCTGGTCCCAGCAGACACAGGCCCGTTTCTTGGGCCTCTTCCCTGCTGTATGCCCTGGGTTTCTGAAAAATTTGTCGTTTTGGTTCCTCTGGGTTTGACATTTCTGCTTTCTACGGTCCGTCCCTGGAAGAGATGATCCTGAGACCACAGGAGGGGCAGCTGAGCTAGGGCACCCCAACTCTCCATACTTCCTACCCTTATTTTGGAGCAACTGCCAGTTTCTTTTCCTGTATCCTGCACCCAACTGGGAGCTCCTTGAGATCAGGGGCAGTGTCCCATTCAACTCAGGGCCCCCATGCCCAGCACAAGGCCTGGTACACACTGGCTCCTGGGGATTACTTACTGGTGGGTAGATGCATTACTTACTGGTAGGTGGACATGTGAGGAGTGGATGGGTGGGTGGATGGATGGATGGATGGGTGGGTGGGTGGATGGGTGGGTGGATGTGTGGGTGGGTGGATGGGTGGATGGATGTGTGGATGGGTGGGTGGGTGGGTGGATGGATGGGTGGATGGATGTGTGGGTGGGTGGATGGGTGGGTGGATGGGTGGGTGGATGGGTGGGTCGGTGGGTGGGTGGGTGGATGGATGTGTGGGTGGGTGGATGGGTGGATGGATGGGTGGGTGGATGGGTGGGTGGGTAAATGGGAGGAAAGGTAGGTGCGAGGACACATATGTCAATTCTTTTTCTTGCAATTATTTCAAGAAGACAGTCTTAGTTTGGTGCCGTTAAGTTCTCAATATTTCTTTAACTACTGGTCCCTCTCACGAAGAAAAAACAAAGTGCTCTGGGCAGGCAACAGAACACAACTGCGTGTAAGGACATTTTCTGGGGTCTTCCCAGTGAATGTGTCACGGTCATCATTATTTCGTGGCATGTCACACAGGTTTCCCACACTTAGGGAGTTTAAAAAGTTCCTTCCAAAATTAAATTCTTAAAAGGAAGGCACTTTTTCAAAAAAGTTATGTCACTAATAATGCAGGCTGCAAATGAATATGGTTTTAAAACGTAAAGATGCCCGTGGATTCTGTGAATGTGGGTAAAATGATGGAGGTGGCCGACGGTCCTGAGGGTTGGTGAACTGGGCTCCAGGACCCCCCTCCTGTGACAGACAGACAGACACGCGGAGGCCCAGAGAGGCCCAGGGACCAGACTGGGGGTCCACAGATTTTTCTATAAGGAGCCAGACAGGAACTGTTTTAGGCTTTGCAGGGCTTACGGTCTCTGCCACACCTTCTTTGTTTTATTTTGTGTTTACTTCTCTGTATAAAGGAGAACATCATTCCAGTCACAATCTAGACAGAACCAGGCTGTGGGCCGGATTTGGCCCATGGGCTGAACTTGCTGACCCCTGGATGAGCCCTGAGCCCCTGGGCAGGAGCGGAGCAGAGCTGAGAGTGTGAGCCGTGTGCTGCCCCCCATCCAGCACACATTCCCCGTCCCCAGGGTCTCCGTGTTGGATGCCGGATGTCATCCCAGCCCTGCGGGGGGCGGCCCGGGCTCACCTTGCAAGCTGTGGTCCATGGGGAAGTGCTTGGTCTCTTCAAAAGCCCTGCTCATGACTGGCCCCTTGAGGAGTGCATGGATGGAGTCCACCTGCCGGCAGGAAGCTCGAGGTCAGTGTGGCCCCAGGGTCCTCCATGTTGCAGGGACCCACGACTCCCAGCCCCTACCCCAGCGCCTGGCTTCTGGGTTCTCACCAGGAGTGACGGGAGGAACCCAAGGTCAGGCCAGGGGTGGGAACAAAGGTCCCACCTGGTTGAAGAGATGTTCCAGGCAGCCGTGAAGCTTGTCCTGCTTGTCTGATGGGATCCGCATGTCACAGGGCAGCTCGTCCCCTGGCAGAAGGGAGAAGTCCCGGCCATCAACAGACAATTTCTGTCCCATCTCACACCTGCCCAATCTCTTTTTCCCAAGAAGGCTACAGAGCTCCAGAGCTCCAGAACCCACAGCGGATCTGGAGTCTGACAGACACGGATCCTGGCTGTGTGACACTAGGCAAATCTCTTGACCTCTCTGAGCTTCAGCATCTTCATCTGCAATATGGGCAACAGGAACTAAAGCATTACACAACTGCAAGTCAGTGCTATTATTTCTGAGACTCTGCAAACGAGGAGACTGCGAGCCAGAGAGAAGGAACTGGACCCCGAGTCCCCTGCCCCATCTCGCACCGTTCAGCCAGCTGCCACATTTCCTAACCTCCCCAGGGACAGTTCTACAGCTGAGCATCTTAGTGATGGAACATTTATCTAAAGTCCGGCAATAGCTTCGATTTTACTTGAGCTTCTTTTTCTTCTGTTAAATTGAAAAACAAATTAAAGTTAAATGTTTATGCCCAGACTACCACCGGAAGGACACACAAGGCAGCTGTGAGCGTGGGAGCTTGGGAACCAGAGACTGAGTTACCAGGGTGGGAGGGGAACTCGCCCCGCCCACCCCCTCGTGCCTTTTCTGTCGTAAACCATGTGGCTGTGTGACCTATTCACAGAATAACAATTTTAAGGCTGAAATCAATGAAACTAAAATCAAAGCAAATTTCAGTCTTTCAGAAAAAGTTGTAAGTAGAGTATAACCTAACTCACAGAATAGTATTTATGTCCGTCTATCCTCCCCGCCACCCACCCACCCACGTCCATCTGTGCCGAGTATGTTCACCGACGGTCTCCGCCTGTCACTGGTGGTCATGTCTGGGGGTTCTGATTGCCTTCATGTACTTTTTCTGTGTGGCCTGAATTTTGGGTTTGAGCATGTGTCACTGTTACGGAAACCATCAGGTCACCTTATTTTAGTGACCCCAGAGCAACGCATCCCAGTCTCTAATTGCATCATGTATGTTTTCGTCTGTTCCGTGTCCACGACATGCGTGGAGAACGTCAGCTCCACGAGGACCAGGACCTTTTGCTGCGTTCACGGCTGTGGTCCCAGCACAAAACAGTGCTCAAGAAAACGTGCTGAACAAGCAGATGAAGGCAAACACGCGGCCAGAACACGCAACATAACACAAAACAACGTGCCACAGAGTAAAGTAGAATAAGATCAAATAAACAAAACGGAATCTCGCTGGGGACGCCCCTGTCCTGGAGCACGAGCCACTGCACTCACCGGACCCCATCTCGTCACTGCCCAGGTAGGAGCTGTTACTTCTCACACTGGTGTAGGACAGGACGGAGTCCCGGTTACTGTTACACTCGCTGCAAACGGGCAGAGAGGAAGACAGGAGTCACCCTCCAGCTCACACCCCCTGGTCCCAGCACCCACCGCCCACTCTCTGGAGTGCAGACAAACTCCTTGGCTCCTCAGGGGAACCACCAGCCCAGAGAGGGTGCTGCAGGCTGACCACCAGTGTCCTGGCCAGTTTCCCAACGGTGGGAAATATCTCTAGGCCCCAGCACGGAAACGCAGACATAGTTAAGAGGACAGTAAATTGCTTTCATTTGGGAGTAAACATCTGCCACTCCCCTCGGGGGACAGCCCGGTTCCTGGGCACGTGGGCGCATGCCACACGCGATCACATGGCTCCACGTTCTGTCTCCCCAGCCTGGCTAGGAACCTCGTGGAGACAGGGACTGTGTTCTCTTAGCTTGTGTCCCAGGAACTCAGAAGGTATGGGAATCAAAAGCCCCAATCCTGAAATTCTTTCCTTCACCATTCTGACAATGAAAGGAAAAACTGGAGAACCCAGAGAGGGAGAATCCTGGGCTTTGGACACAGCCGTTGGGAACACACGGTGCCCAGTGAGCATGGACATCTGGTTAAACAGAAGCCAAGCCAGAAACACGGCGCAGCCGGAGCCCTTGCCGACGGAGGACTCCGAACGCCGGGGGGGCTGGGGGAAGGTCTTGTCGAATCCCAGCAGTTCTGTGTTTTGCCCACAAACGCCGGATGCACCCCACTAAGGCTCTGCTCCATAAGCCCCCGATCACTGGAGCCCGCGGGGCTTGTTCATTGTGGTAAGGACTTCCACTTACCCACTAGACAGACCATTACAGGAAATGGAGTTTTTCGTTCATTTAACCCACTAATTAGGGCTTCACTGTTCTTGTTATAATTAGCTTAACCAGTAAAAGACAACAACAACAAAAACCAACTCAGATCCTCCCAGAATTAAGAGGGGGGAAAAACTGTCTTTCCCCCTTGGATCAGGTAAAAATAAACTGTTGCAGAAACCATGTCAGTTAGGACACACCACAGATCTTGCCTTTCCTGTGACCACACTCCGAGCGTGTGCAGAGGAACGGGAGCAGAATGGACGGGTGGTGTCCACAGGGGACAGAGCCTGAAACGTTGGCCTTGGGGCAGGGGAGCCGAGGGGGGTGTCTGGGGGGCTCTGGGGCTTAGATAACCCCCAGAAACATACGGCTTAGCAATAGTGCCCCATCCCACTGCTTCCTGGGAAATATCCCTCTCGATCTGACTTCCCCACGGGTCAGTGGCCTCCACTGTCCCACTGGCCAGCCATGTCAAACCCCACACGATGCCCACGGCTGCCCCCACCTGTAGGAGTCACGGTAGCTCATGGTGTCATGACCCGAGTCCTCCTGGTCCTCCTCAGACACCTTGAAACACACTTTCTTGATGCCCCCGTGGTCGGTCCTGTCCATCTCGCTCTCTTCGCTGACCAGTGGGGAGGAGGAGGCCTCCTCAGACAAGGGCGGATCGCAGGACCCACCTGAGGTGGGCTCTGTGATGGTGGACAGCAGCCTGTGGGAGAGAAGACTTTGAACTTAAAGGCACATGCTGGTGGCTTCAATGACCTCCATGGAGGCTCCAGGCAAGGTCCTGACCTCGGGCCTCACCTCTGACCCTAACAGAGGGAACCACCAAATGCTTTATGTCCCATCCCTGAAAATCCCTCTAGCGACTCTGCAGGAGCACTTACAGGGTCCGACCTGTAGGGGGTGTGAGAGACAGAGGTTCTTCATTTCATGGCCAAGCTACATACACAAAGTTCCAGGGCACAGAACAGGAAAAGTTGCTGTAAAGACCCAGAGAGCACATCTGTTCGGCTTGGTAGGCCACACGGGATCCGTTAAACTACTCAACTTGGCTGCTGTCATGTAAATGCACCACAGACACCATGAAAATGAATGAGCATGGTTGTGTTCTAGTAAGATTTTATTAACACTAGGCAGTGGGCTGGATTTGGCCCAGAGGCCATAGCTTGTCAGCCCAGGAATTGAATATCATGAATGGTCAAGTGTATAGGTTGTTAACATACACAGACCACAGATCCAAATCCCGATGCTGCCGCTTGCTAGCGCAGTGACCTACAGCAAGTTATTTAACCTCTCTGAGATGCAGTTTCCTCATCTGGACCACGGAGTAATATCAGCATCTATGTCCCAAGCTGGTATGAAGTTTAAGGGAGTTAAAATAGGTAAAGAAGAGGGTCTGAGGCCTTGTAAGTGAGCAATAAACCCTGGCTGGTGAAATCCTATTGCATCTCAATGAGGTCAGTATTAGGATCAGCTCCATTTTGCAGATGGGGAAATAAAGGCTCAGAGAAGTTAAGTGACTTGCGCAAGGTCACACAGCTAATAAGTAGCAGGGCCAGGATTCAAACCCCAGCCTCCTGGCTCCAGACCCCACATGGCTTTCTCTTTTATCATGGACAGTTTCCACTCTACACCAAATAGAGGGGACGGTATCAAGAACGCCAGGCACCCAGTGGCCGGCTTCAACAATGGCAAGTTGGGGTCCACTTTTGTTTCCTCGATCTTTCCTGCTGCACTTTCTTTTTCTGGAATATTTAAAACATATCTAAGATATCATAAATTCCCCCTATAAATACTTCTCTTTGTGTCTAGCACATAAGGACTTTCTTTTAAAGCAATGGTTCTCAACTGGAGGCGATTCTGCTGCCCCCCACCCCCGCACCCTGGAAACACTGGGCAACTTGGCATATTTCCTGAGGGGCAAACGTTTACCAATGTCCAGAGACATTTTTAGTTGTCACACTGAAGCAGGGTGGGGGTGGGGGAACTACTGCCATCCAATGAGAGAGACCAGGGATACCGCTCGGTATCTTACAATGCACAGGACCACAAAGAACGATCCAGCCCACTGTCAATAGTGTCAAGGCTGAGGAACACTGGTTTAAACCTAACCAGACTGCTACTACCATGCCTAACAAAATCAGCAGTCCCTAGTACCATCTAGTACCCAGTCCGTGTTCACATGTCCCTGGTGATCTCGAAAGTGTCTTTTCACAGATGGTGTGTTAGACGCAGAACCCTAACCAGGTCTAGACTCTGCATTGGTTAATGTGCCTCTCAAGTCTGTTCTCTAACAGATCCTCCTCCTCCCCCCTGTACCTGCTCCCCACCCCCACCCCCATCAGATATTTGTTAAAGAAACTGTCTCAACTGTCACCTAGAATCGCCCTCCCTCTGGATTTGGCAATTGCATCCCTGAGGCACCATGTCACCACTCTCTATCCCCCACGTCCTACAGCTGAGCCGTGAGTGCGACCTACAGCTCTGATTAGAGAGCGGTGCAATTCCGTAGGCGAGAACCCTTCGCAAGTGGTGCTGTGTGCCCTGCTGCATTACGCCAAAAGGGACGTCGTGTCCTGCCTTCTTTCTTTCTGTTAAAATTATAAAGTCCCCCAAACCTTTTGCCCAAAAGCCTCAGCCTCTACTGACGAGTGCTGTCACAGCCCTTCACTCCATTAGGGCAGTGGTTCTCAATCAGGAGCGATTCCGCCCCGCCCCCGAGGGGTACTCGGCATTGGCGGAACATGTTTTTGCTGGTCACGGCTGGGGAACAGGGATGTTACTGGCATCTAGGGATGCTGATAAATAGCCTGTGATGTACAGGACAGCTCCCCACTACAAAGATTCCTGAGTCTAACAGTCCCCCCAACCCCGCAGCTCCCTCCTGGCACCAGGGCTCACCTGTTGATCTGGGTGACGTACTGCTTCATCTCCTTCAGCGCGACATCCAGTTTGGTAAAGAGCTGCAGGAAGGCATCCTGGATCTCACGGTCCTCCTGCTTGAGGAGAAAGCGCAGGCCCCGGTCCTCCGGGCTCAGGGTCCCATTGGCTGGCCCGAAGCTGCTGTCATGGGTCCCTTGGCACTGAAGGTCCCCGTCCATGGCAGGCAGGCACTTCCAGGAGGGGGCAGCCATGGTGGTGATGCAGTGCTGGGTGTAGGACATAGGGTTCAGGTGGCCTACATGGAGAGAGGGAGAGCTCACTTGGAAGCAGTGCCCAGACACCTACGACCCCCTTGGACAGAGGTATATAAGCCCATTTCTAGGATCCCAACAAATAAGAGAATTTTCCCTTTTAAATATTATTTTAATCCACTAGATTACTGCAAGAAGAAAAATTGAGTTTAATGCTAATATGCCTTTAACTACTGTGATCTTTTTCCTGCCTGGAATGCAGACATGATGACCGGTACGCCAGCAGCTATTCTATACCATGAGGCATCCTTCAAAATGAAAGCCATATACAGAGATGATGGTGTAGAAAGAAAGGAGCCTATATCCCTGATGACTGTGAAGCCACCATTCCAGCCCTGGACCACTCACTTCCAGCCATATTTCTGTTTAAGTATCTGTAGTGTGAAATCCAAACATAATTTCTAACAGACACATGCAGTTACCTTGCTCTGGGTCAAGTCCAATGAGGGAGGGTTTGCGACCAAAGCGAATGCTGAAGGACCTGCCAATGGAGGGAGTGGTCTTGGGGTAGGACACTTCCATGATGTTGATGTGGCAGTTGGTGGGGCAGAAATCCAGGCCACACAGAGAATGGGGTTCCAGAGGTGCTTGTTTGAAGGGTGGGCTGACCCTGCTCTTCAGCTGGGCTGCAAACTGACAAAGGTGGGGGACGTGAAGTCACGATTCAGGACTCTGAGAATTCTGGCCCACCCCCAATACCCACTTTATCCTGGCCGAGGCCAGACATTCCAAGTTGGACACAATGAATAGCTCTAATGGAAAAGTGGAGATTACCCTACACTGCCTTTCACTGGATCCAGATTTCAGGGAAAGTCCAGAGACATGAGGCCTCTGAGTTCCTACCCACATTCGTTTCTCCATTTTAGCTGCACAAGTGAGCTGCCCTTGCAAAACCATCTCTCCCCAACCCACAGCCCACGAGGTTCAGGTAAGGCTGCCTCCCCATCCCTGCAGGTACTGACACAGGGCTAGGCAAGGGACTCAAGCCAAGCCAATGAAAGCTCTTGAGTTCCTTTTTTACTGGAGTTGCTAAGGTTAGAGCTACTGGGGACCACTTTGTCAACACATGAGAAAGGCCCTCCTGAGAGCAAAGCCAACATGGGAAAATAAAGTCAAGAGAAGGAGTGAGGCCATGTTCTTATGACAGTGATATCTGATTGAGCACCTGGATACAACCATGCCTGAAGTTCATCTCTGGACTTTTCAGTAATATAAACCAATAAATCATCCTGTTTGTCTAAGCTAAGTTAGGCTGAGCTTTGACATTTACAACCAAACTACCCCAGGTGGAGACCCTGTCAGATAAAGGTACCTCCTGATAGCAGGCAATCCTCTGGCCAATGCTCTCCAGCTTGATGTCGCAGATGTTGCGAAACTCGAAATGGGACATGGTCTTGATGTTGTTACTCAGGGCCATGAGCCGCCCGCAGTTCTGCACGAAGACACTGTCATCAGCAGCAAAGGCCTCGAGGATCTGCAGAAACATTAACAACACTGAGCACACACTCTGTGCCAAGGAGGGTCTTAAGCAGTTCATCTGCAGTGACCCCTGTAGGCCGCATAACACCCCGGTGAGGTCAGGTCTATTACTGGCCCATTTTGCAGATGCAAAAACTGAGGCTAAAAGAGATAACAAGTCACTCTCGTAAGTCCTATGTGATGGGGCAGAGACTAGAATTCAGGGCTCCAGGCTAACCCTGAGGAAATGGGAGTCCACTGCTCCACCCCCCAGGGCAGGGCCGTGCCCAGCGAGACCTTGGCAGTGAGGCCGAAGCAGCCGCGGGGCTCCACGATCTTCTCCAGCACGTGACACTTGATGCCAGCTGTGCTCACGTACTCGTACACCACGCCGTGCTCCAGGTGCACGTTGTCCACAGTCAGGCTGACCACAGGGCTGTCCTCATGCAGGCTCAGCTGGGGACCCAGGGACAGCAGGGAGAAGGCTGAAAGCCAAAAGAACAGGCAACCCTGAGGAGGGGGCGCCACCCCACAGCAAGCCGGCCCCCAGGCCCAGAACCATGGACAGCTCCCGTGAGGCTGATGGGGAACTGAAGCCTGTACTACAGAGCTGCTTGAGTTTGTCAGCCCACCACTGTTCACCCAAATCAACACTTGTGTCCCATTCCCAGTCTGCGTGGCTCAGAAGCGGGGACCCCCGCCAACCGCATCATTCCCCGGAGGAACAGGCCTGGCCAATCAGCATACTCGATTTCCCCTATTCTCAGTGACTGGTTCAGGAACAAGCACATGACCCAAGGGGGCCAGTCAGTCAAGTCTGGGGCTTTTGTTGGATCTACAAAAGGGAGGAGACATTCTCTTTCCCATTGGATTCCAAGCTGCCGGAGCCACCACGTGGAGAAAACAGCACGTGAGAGGAAAAGCAACCCAGAGGGAGCGGAGCTGAAAACTGGAAAGAGACTCCTCACGAGACTACAAAGCACTGGGTGGAGCCAGACCAGAAACGTGTAAGAGTCCTCAGACTCTTTAGTTTCCCGAGTCAATGTGTTCATATAGCTCAGATTCAGTCCCAATTAACACGGGCCCAGAGAGGCTGAGCGACTCCTTGAGGGCCACACAGCGAGGGAGCGACATACGTAGGAAACAAAGAAGGCACCGCATGATCTATGTTAACTCACACACGCGGCGAAGACAAATAAAATAGAATAAGGAGACCCCGAGACAGAAAAGCACCCAGGGTGGCCTCTCTGAGGAGGTGACATTTGAGAAGAGAGGTGAGTGAGGTAAGAGGTGCTCTGAAGGACAACATCCAGACAGAGGGAACTGCAAGTGCAAAGGTCCTGGGGCAGGGGTACATTTGCTGCTGGAGTGGATGAAGCAGAGAAGGCAGATAGGAGGTGACGAGAGGTAAGGTTGGAGAGCCTGGCTGGGCTGGAAGACCATGATGCGGACTTGGTCTTTACCCTGAGTAGGGCGGGAGCACTGGAAGTCTTTGTTCTATTTTTTGAGAACAGTCCAGGGAAGGCAGGGCAATGAGCGGGCTGCTGCAATAGTCCTGGTGAGAAATGGTGGCTTAGACCAGGCAGCCAGGGTGGAGGGGAGTGGCCTGACTCCGGATGCACGCGGAAGGCAGAGGCAGCCAATGAGCTGCTGGGATCAAGGCAGAGGGACACAGAAGAGAGAGACAGCGGAGGCGGGCTCCAAGGTCTCGGGCCTGGGACTGGAGGGATGGAGAATCCGGGGGGAAGAGCGAGTTTCAGGCGAAGGTCAGTTTTAATTTTGGCCATGCGACGTCTGCGATGCCTGCTGGGCATGGGCGGGGGGTGAGCAGGCAGAAAGACAGGTCTGGAGTTCAGGGCTGAGGCCGTGCTAGAGAGACCAGTGTGAGCTCGTGGGGGGCAGAATACTGGCCCCTGAAAGCTGACCCTGTCCTCAGCCCTGGACGACATGCTGTTACATGGCAAGTGGCAATGACCGCTGCAGATGGAATTAAGGTTCTAATCAGACGACCTGACAACGAGATGATCCTGGACGGCCCAGAGGAACCCAGTGGGGAAGGTGGAGGCAGAAGGGCAGAGTCGGGAGGTGGCAGGGTGAGGAGGACTCAGGCCACCCTTGCTGGCTGGCTCTGCGGACGGAGGAAGGGGCCACGAGCCAAGGCACACAGGCAGCTTCTAGAAGCGAGATGGGTAAGTAAATGTGTTCTCCCTGCTGACACCTGATTCCAGCCCAGGGAGCCTCATTTCGGACTTCTGACCTCAGAACTAAGGGAATAAACACACGTCATTTTAGGTCACCAGCTTGGTGGGGTTTTGTCATAGCAGCAACCAAAGCTAATACAGAACTGACAGCCTCGAGATGAACTGGATGAGGCCAGGGAGGAGTGTAGGCACAGGAGAGGACCTGTCCCCACTGGAGTCTGCCACGCTGCCCGCCTGCCCTGTTACCTGAGTCGGGCTGGTCTTCCTCCTGGGCCCCCTCGCCACCGGGGTCCTCGCCAGGGGCCTCCTGGCTGGCTCGGGCCTCCTGAGCGTCCTCGTGGGTGTGGTAGATCCACTGGTACAGGCCCTGTGGGGGGAGCAGTCAGAGGGGCGGCCACAATGCTGGGGGCCCAGGGAGGAAGGGATAGGGCGAAGGTGCCAACGGTCCCGCACTCCAAAGCTCAGACTCTTAGCCTGGCGGTGACACCATCTTTGGAGAGGCCTCCGAGGCTTCGCTCTGGAACCTTCCTGGGGACCTCTAGCCACACCTAACTCTCCCCCTACAGTCTACACTCCACACAGAAGCCAGGGCAGGGGGAGCCTTTGAAAATGTAAGTCAGACCCACGGGTACAGAAAACGTGTCTCTCCTGTGGCCGCAGGACCTAGAAACGTGTCAGGCACAGAGTGGGTGCTCAACAAACACTCCCGGGGTGAGCCAATAAATGGGCATCACCTTCCACAAAACGCCAGCCCCCCACCCAAGAGGAGCAATGTTTTACCATCAACGTGCCTATTTGCCCAACGTGCCTATGTAGTAAGAAAAGAGGGTCTTGCACACCCACTCCACAGCCGGGAAAACCAAGGTCACAGGGATCACAGCCCAGCTCCTCCAATTTGGGGAGGCAGAGGGGGCACAGGGTCCATGCCCAGCTCAGTCCCACCAGGTAGGCAGCCCACCTGACCCAAAACACCGTGATCGCCCCGGGCTTTTCTTCCAGAGAAGAGATGGTCCTCAGCCCCCTACCCCCTAAGCAGGACATCCCTAAGCAGCTTACCAGGGCCTCTTCCCGGCGGTTCCGGAACGCCTGGAAGTGCTCTAGGACTTCCGGGGCACTGTCGTTCATGACGTTGTTGCCATTGACCTTCAGGATACACTGGCCGGCACAGAGCCCTGCGGCCGCAGCTTCTGAGCCTAAGGGAGGTGGGAGTGCTTGAGGCTGAGCGCCAGGCAGAGAGGGCCTGGGCGGCAAGGCAAGAGCAATACCCGGATGAACACTGTCACCAAGCCCCAGACACACACCCAAACACTCCACCTCCCTCCCTCCCACCCCGGAGCCACCCTCCGACCCACTCCAACAGGCAGGGCATTCCCATTTCGCAGATGGAGAAACTGAGACTCAGACCAACAGCAGCTAGCCTCCCAGGTACGTTTCACTCTAAAGCTTCATCTCCTTTAAAGTCCTGCAAAAACCTGTGATACTGGGCCCAGGATCAGCCCCATTTTGTAGACAGGAAAACAGGCTCAGAAAGGCACAGTAATTCTCCCAAGCTCACAGGGCTAGAAGCCAGGATTCACACCCGGGTCTACAGGACTCCAAAAGCATGTTTGCTCAGCCATGCCACTATTCCCAAACTGCAGGTGTTGGAGCCCAGGGTTCTGCGTGGTTAATATGAAGGATCTGGAAATGCAAATGATGCCAAGCTTTGTCTGGACATAAGAGCATATCAGGCCTTCATCATATGACGGTGACGAGCACAGGACTAGCCCCCAGGGGCTTGGGTTCAAACCCTGGCTCTGCCACTAACCAACTGTGTGACCTTTGGAAAGTTCCTTAACCTCTCTGTGCCTTGGTTTCTTCATCTGTAAAATGAGGACATTAATTGTATCTGCCTGTAGGGTCCGTGAGAGATCTGTGGAGTTAAAGCACGTAGTCCATGCCTGGCTCTTAGTAAGTGCTCAGGAAACACCAGCTGCTTCAGCATCTTTGTCTGGTTCACCTATAAACACCTATTCTTCTCTGTAGCCACCCTAAAGGCACTCACCTGGGCACTACTGACATTTGGGGCTGGAGACTCCCTGCTGTGGGCTGTGCTATGCACCACAGGGCGCTGAGCAGCACCCTGCTCCCTACCCATGAGATGCCATGGCACCCCCAACCCTGCTGTGGCAACCAAAGATGTCCCCAGACACTGCCAGATGCCCTCCAGAGGGGGGAACTGCCCCAGTTGAGAACCCCTTTTTAAAGAATATATAAAATAAAAACACACTTTAAAATAGTAACAAGCTCTCCATAAGTTTCTATCCTGAAATGCATATTCTTTTTTTTTAAGACATTTTATTTTTTTATTTTATCCTCACCCAAGGACATTTTTGCATTTATCTTCAGATAGAGCAGAAAGGAGAGAAGGAGGAAGAGAGAAACATTGATGTGAGAGAAACACATCGAGTGGCTGCCACCTACATGACCCCAACTGGGGCCTGGGACAAACTGCAATCGAGGTACGTGCCCTTAGCCGGAACCGAACCCGGGACTCTCCAGTCCGCAGACCGACGCTCTAACCACTGAGCAAAACCAGCCAGGGCCTGATATATATATTCTTTGTACCGCAGGCCGACGCTCCAACCGCTGAGCCAAACCGGCCAGGGCGATATGTATATTCTTAATTAATACATATTAATAGCACAAATATGACCACAAAAATAGACAACTGATCTTTAAACTTTGAAAGTGGAGCCCTTAGATGCAAAAAGGTTTGGGAGCCCAGTATCTCAGACCAATCTGATTGTATCTCCAAGACAGAGAAACCCGTTAAGCAACACAGAAAGCAAAGTTCTCAAACTACTGGCCCGTGGTCTGAATCTGGCCAGAGAAGTGTGGCCAAAATTCATATCTGGTTTCTCTTAAAAAAAAAAAAAAAAAATCAAACCTGGCAAGACTGGGCCCTCATTCCTGCATGGCAACAATGAGCTTGAGCTAAGGAAGACGGCCCCTGTTGGAGTGAATGCACCTTGCCATAGTCCTCACCACTCCCTATTGCCTTCCTCTCAGTTACCCATTTGTAACTGCCTGACCCCCATAGGCACTGGCATTTGCAAGCCTTGGCTTCAAGCAAAGAAAGTAGTGCTGATGGTGCACTATGAGACACGAGCCTGGCGGCAATGGTCTGGGCAGCTCTGAACTCCTATCACCCACAGACTGGTCTCCCAAAGCTCTCCTCTGTCTGTTAGGCTCCCACTCACCTCTCCCGACAGCATAGACGTAGGGCGGGGCAGCTCCACGGATCTGGAAGCACAAAGCCTCTGGATGGTCGGGCACTTTGATGATCCTGCACCAGGCAGAAGCAGCCATAAGCAAAAGCAGCATCACTCCCAACAGCCCAGCGGGCCACCCTGGAGAGCCCCTGCCTCCCAGACTTTTGGGAAATCTAGCCCAAAAAAATAGCAGTGCCAGGCTTTCCAGCTCCCAAATATACAGAGAAGCCTCTTTTAGCCTAACCAAAGCCCACACCGCCAGGATCTCCGGTTAATCGGAACCACCGGCCTGCCCATGGGCCTTCAGTCCACACACAGAAATTCCAGATCACCCTCTACCTCCTCCACCATTCTCCTGGTGGGAGGGGGCCTCTTGGAGACCAGAGCAACACCGCAGCCAAGTGAATATTTTATTCAACGATCGTGGAGAGAAGGGTGAGAAGTGATCCGCACATCTTGGTGCCAACTCTAGAAAAATGTGCACACGTGTCCCCTAGGGAACACGGTTTGAAAGCCCAGGTCTTGGCCATTCTGCAGGTGGAACACCAGAGCCGAGCAGGCGGCACCCACCTGGGATGGTGCAGTGGGTGCCATTAACCCAGGGGCTTCAATGCAGCTGTCTGCTTCCCCACTGAGGGTGTGTCCCCGACAATGACCTTCAGAATCACCCCTCCCGTCCCCACCTGCCAGGTAAAGCCGTCCTGGGAGCCTGTTCTCAAACCCCAGGTGTTTCCAGAACTCACGACAGGCACATCCCACCTTGGTGACTTCTGCCACTGCCACATACCCACCAGACTAGCAATCATTTTCCCTAAATTAACTTGCCTTTTTACTGAAATAATTGTATTCAAAACCTTCCATCACTCCTGTCAACAGAAAACTGGGAAGCATTTGCCTTAAATAGAAGGGAGAAGTAGAAACCAAATGCACAATTTTAAAAATAGAAAACGTGTCTCCCTGTACCTATATCTGGTATCCAGCCACTTCTCACCAGCTCCCCACTGCCATGCAGGTCGGTCCAGCAGCCTTCTCACCACTTCCCTGCTTCCATCCCCTCCCCCACCATCTAATCTTCACCTGCAGCCAGAGGGATCCTGCCAGAACCTACATCAGACCATGCCTCACCTCTACGCAGAACCTCCAAGTGGCTGCACAGTCCTCACTGTAGGTACAAGGTCCTACAGAGCCTGGCCCCCAGTGTCTGGCTGACCTCATCACTCACCCCTCCCTCTCACTCACGCTGCTCCAGCCCATCGGCTTCCTCGCTAGTCCTCAAACAGACCAGCCAGCTTCCACCCCAGGGCCTTTGCACTGGCTGTTTTCTCTGCCTGAAGCCCTCTTACTCCACAAGTCCCCTGACTCTCTCCTTTACCTCCTTCAGGTCTTCACCTCAGTTCTCAGGGACACCCTGACAACCATCCCTCCACACAGCCCATCATCTCCTTTCTCGGCTTTATACACTGACCCACACTTACTACCACCTGGTTCAGTATGTATCTCAGTTCTCCATTTTCGCGTCTGTCTCCTGCTCTACCTTCCACCGGACTGAGGTCCATGAAGGGTAAATGTATCCATCCAGACACAGCTGGATCCCCAGAGCCTGAAACACCACTAGACACAAGGCCGCGCTCAATCGGCACCTGCTGAATGACTGAAGGTAGCAGCCTCCTGTCACATGCCTGCAGAATGAGCCCCGCCCATGAGGAACCAGGACAGCTCGGGGGCCCCACCCCAACCCCTAGCCCCCAGGCAACTCCTCGAACTGAGAGGAAGTCCACTGGGACATCTGGCCCTGGGGACACTCACTCTTTGGCCTTGGTGGCCACCAGAAGGCGCAGTGGGCGGCGGGAGCAGAAAGACTGGTTGAGGACGGTCTCCACCTCCGCGAAGGGCCGCAGGAGCACCAGGTCCTCGTTGATGGAGTAGATCTTCCTCCCCACCTGCAGGCCGGCCATCTTGGCAGGGGAGACAGCACAGCAGGTCACTAGTCTCCTTCCTCCTCACGAAGGAGCCTTGAATGCATTCAGGCAGCACAGCACCGGCCCCAGGGACCGAGCATGACCAGAGTGATCCCCAGGGTGACCACGGTCCCCTGTGAGGTAAGCAGTCCCTCCCCAGTGCAGGCTGGTGAGGCCCGGTTCTGCCCAATGAGCTACTGAAGGGAAGCCTGGGGGCGGCCGTAACAGAAAAGACGTTTCCTTTGAGGAGAAACTGTCGTGACCTGCCCCCGCTTCCCACCCTGCCATCTGAGGACAGGAGGCCTCGAACTGGACAGCCACCCGTAACCAGGAGGGCTTGGCCAGGAAGGTCGAAGGGATGCTGACCCTGAACCAAGACGCACAGCCACCTCCGTCTAACCACAAATTAAGTCCCAGGGCTCCAGCCACTGTGGGGCGAGCATGTGGCTACTTGCAGCCAAAAGCATTCCTAATCTTTCCTAATCACTCCGCAGAGACAAGCGGCTCCCGGACAGCACGGCAGGGGCCTCTCCCTACCCGCCTCCACACTCCGGGGCGCAGCGAGAGGACCGAGGCCGAATGCCTGGCCTGCCACAGGCTCGCTCTCCTTCCTCCTCCAGACCTTGTGTCCATGACCGAGCAACACACTTGTCTTATTCTGGCCACCGAGCATTAGTGTTTTCCTATCACAGCTGATTCAAACCTTTTTCTTGCACCTCCCCGTGGAGCCAGCAGAGGGAGCCAGCGGCACACACTGGGCGGACAGCCCTGCGCAGAGGGACTGTCCCAGCTCCCTCGGAAAAGGCAGAAGAGCTGGCCCTAGACTCAGTTTCTCCATCTGGGCAACTGAGCAGAGGGGGGACATTCCAGGATTTGCTGCCTACCTCAAAGGGAGAGAGACGCCCACTCTGCTACCCACACACAGCCCCTGCCAAGGCGGCCCCTCCGAGAGGCCTCACCTCGGCCAGCGAGCCCCTCTGGACCGACTTCACCACCACGGCCTTGTTCTTCTCCTCGATGTCGAAGCCGTAGTCCTCCTCCTGGGGCAGGATCTGTGGGCCCAAAGCAGGAGAGCCCCGGTGAGGCGGTGGGGGGCAGCGGAGGGGCGGCTGGAGCCAGCCCTGCCTTGGCCCCCAGGGGAGTGGGATCCTGCCGGCTCCTCAGGCCCCAGATCTGCATGGGGTAAGGGTGCCAGGTTGGGACGTTCTGGGGTTCGGTGGTGGTGGGGACACCAGGAAACAAATATCTGCTGAGCTGCTGCCTATTATAGGGGTCGGGTACTTTACTGGGCACCAGAGACAGTATTGAACAAGACAGTTCCCGCCCTCATGCAGCTATCTAGTCGGGGAGGCAGACGACAAACAAATGTAGGATGTGACACCGGGAGCATATCGGGTTTAAATTAAAATAAAGCACTTAAAGGGGCAGAACATGGTGTGGCAGGGGCAGAAGAGGTAACATGTGAGCCAAGACCTGGATGAAGGGAGGCACAGAGCTTCCTCAAGAGTGAAGGAAGTGCTCCGGGCAGAGGGCACAGCATGTGCAAAGGCCCTGAGTCAGGCCCAAGGGACTGGAGGGTAAGTGAGCAGATCAGAGTGGCTGCTGTGGGTGAGGAAAGGGACCGGACAGGAGATGAAGCTGGAGAGGCAGGAAGAGTCTCGTAGACCATGGGAGACTGGGTTTTACCCTAAGTGTGATGGGGAGCATGGGGGGCCTCATAGTGGGAGAAATGGGAAGAGCAGCCCCCAGAAGTACTGCAGGAGAGAAGTTAACGGAGCAATCTTCATACTCGTCAGACTTCGGCCCGACTCTGGCTGTGGCGAGAGACTAAGCTCTGAGCTCTCTCTTGACTGCCTGTGGTGGGCCAGGCACTGGGGTGGGGGCTGCTGCTCACTGGTAGACGGAGAAACAGACTTGGTGGGCTCGGCTGGCAAACTATCTGAATAGGCTGGAAAATGTTCTACCTTAACTGCAAGGATATTTACAGCAACTGGATGGCCAGGGTGCCAGCCCAGAAGACTCAAGCTTTGCCATCCTGTCCGCACAGTGCTAGGCGGGATGTGGGGTGGATAGCGGGAGATGGAAAGGAGAAGGAAGGCAGCCCGGCGAGCCCCATCTCTTCTGCGAAGAAGACAGTCTTGGCCAGTGAAGTGACCTGGCCGTATCTGAAGGCCGCCCGGCATTGTATGGAGCCGCATCTGAAGGTGGCCCAGCTCCCAGCCTACAGGAGGGCCTGGGGAGGAAGACGCAGCAGCTCGGCTCTGCTCCTACCAGCAGGCGCTTGGCCAGAATGTTCTCCACCAGCTTGAAGTCGTTGCGCAGCTGCTTGTTCTTGCTGCTGGTCCCCTCCATCTCCTCGTCTGCGTGGAAGCGGAAGTACTGCGACTCATCCTTGAACTCACTCTTCTCCAGCACTGCAAACCCACACACACGAGCACGTGGTCAGGCTCACGGGAAGGTTCCGGCAGCATTCCCGACTGGCAGCTGCGGGCCGGAACCAACCCCCGGACAAGCGTGGCTTGGCCGGCACTGTTGTATTAAACGGAACCGTGTGCCAACACTAACATATTAGGAGATTTCACATGACAGTCTGGTTTCCTGACCTCTCTTGAAAAATATCCGAAATTGCCCCAGCTGCTAGAAAGACATATTGCAAAGCCATAGTAACAGAAACAGTGTGGAACTACACCGGAAACAGATGGAGAAGCAATGGAAGATCAGAAATCACGCAGGAGGACCATGTGTTTCTGGGAACTTGGTACATGATGGATGATGGATGATCACGTGGCGTATTCCAGACAGTGCAGGGAACCCTCTTAGGGGTGAGGGGGTAAAACTGGATCCCTACCTGCCACCATATACAACAATCAACTCCTGATGGATTAAAGACCTAAACATGAACAGGAAAACTATTGCTCACCAAACAAAGTGCAGGACAGCTTTGTCCTAGGGTGGACAAGGAGTTCAGGTACAAGACCCTCCCCAAAGCACTGTAACTTCTGTTCCATAAGGTCACAGGCAGACAGCAGATTCAAAAAGAACTGTAGTGTCTAAAACCAACAAGGAATAACTATCTAGAATACACAAGCAACTCCAACAAATCAAGCAGAAAAGGCTGGGAAACTCAGAGAAATGGGCAAAGGCTATGAATGGGCAATTAACAGACGGGTAAAACCAAATGGGCAGCAAACATGTGCACAGGAGCTCAACTTCACTAATGATCAGAAAGAGGCTACAAGGAGACACTTCAGGCCAGGGATTGTCGAACTCAGGTCCTGTGGCCCAGATCCGGCCCACTCCCTCTCTGCATAAATAAAGTTTTCTTGGAACACAGCCACACCCATCAATCTGCATATTGTCTGGGGTTGCTTCTGCGCCACAACGACCCAGTGGAATCATTGCAAGAGACTATATGTGCCACAAAGTCCAACATATTTACTACCTGACCTCTGCTCTAAGACAAGCCAAGAAAATGAATAAAAATAACCAGTATGTTGCCCTGGCTGGTTTGGCTCAGTGGTTAGAGCGTCAGCCTGTGGTCCAGAGAGACCCGGGTTCGGTTCCCGCTAAGGGCATGCACCTCAGTTGTAGTTTGTCTCCGGCCCTGGTTGGGTTGTGCGGGTGGCAGCCACTCGATGTGTCCCTTTCACATCGATGTTTCTCTCTCTCTCTCTTCCTCTCTCTCCCTCCTGCTCCGTCTGAGCAGAAAATGGAAAAATGTCCTCGGGTGAGGATAAAAAATAAATAAATAACCAGTGTGTGATCTGGTCCCCATGGATGACAATTTAATAAGCACCTACTAGTGCCAGGCTCACCATGGATACCAGCTTAGGTTCACGTACTGCTCAGACAAGGAAGGATTGGCTGCACCCCTTTGACAGATGGGGAGACTAAGGCCAGAGAAGCGAAATAAACTGGCCACGGTCACAGCTGCCCCGTTCCACCATGCTGCCCAGCCTGGGCTGTGACATGGAAGCAGGGACAAGTGCCATGAGGGGAGAAGTCAAGGCTCCGGTGGGTTAGGGCTGCAGTGGGGAGTCAGGGGGCCCCTGGGAGAAGGGAAACCAGCTGCCTTCACTTCACAAAGTCTCCGCCACCCCCGAGGACAGAGAGGCAGCAGGGGGCGTGCCGGCCTTCTTCCTCCTTTCCCAGGACTGTTTGCGTGTCCATCTCAGGCCACCCCGCTCACCTCTTGAGAACGCAGACACACAAATGACTGCTCTCCCCAGGGCTTGGGAGCCAGGCCCCAGGGGGCCGGCTGGCTTCACCTCCACTGTAAACATGTGGGAAGCAGCGGCTGATGTTGTATCTGCTGAAATGTTTGGGGGAACCGCTGGAACCCGAGTCCAGGAGCTCAGCGAGGTGAGGTCCCGCCACTCCCATCTTTCAGCTGAGGCTGCCGGCCAGGCTTTGAGACGGGCACAGATCCAGGTTCAAGTCCCTGCTCAGCCCCTTCCCAACTTCATGAGCTTTTAGCCTCTCTGAGCCTCAGTTTCCTCTTCTATGGGGATAGTAACAGCACTAACTTCCCAGCATGGCTGCGAGGAGTAAATGCTGAGCCTCAGTTTCCCTGTGTGTGCCCTCATGAGAAGGCTGGACCACCGGACTCTCAGGTCTCTCCCTGAGGACCCCTCAGGGCCCATGAGCTCAGGTCAGAGGCCTCAGGGTGCCACGCAGGCCCCACCCCGCCCTCCACTCTGCACCCTAACCTGCACTTTGCAGCGGCTGCAGACCTAGAATTTGGCCCTTTCCAATTTTAGCCTGTTTTTGAGTTCGTGGCAGGGAACAGAGGAGCAGGGGTTGCGCCCTGCAATTTCTCTCCCTGAGGGGCCTTGAGAGTGTTGGGATTGCCGGGGAGTCACCCTCCACGAATGTCCTCGGCCAGCAGCCTTCCCGGAACAGCAGCTGGGGTGGACCCCTAATTACTCTCACCCACAAATGAGGGGTTCTGCCCAGCTGATTGGCAGGAAGGATGGAGCTGTCAGAGGGCCCCACAGGGAACAGAGCAGCTTCTGGGAACGAGGGACTTTGGCGAGACGGGGCCAATGAACGGGAATGACCGGGGCTGCCCTGGCTGGGCCCAAGCTGCTTGTCACAGCTGGGGAAATCGGCGGCGGGGCCCGAACCGCAAGCCGCGGGCTGCTGAGCTCAGAAGGGAGGGGACAGCCAGGCCTCCAACAGAAAGATGGGGAAACCGAGGCCCAGAGAGGGGCTTGAGCTTAAGGGGGGTCAGCCGAGTCAGGCCCGGAAGCAGGCCTGCAGGCTACCAGGCAGGGGATGGCCCAGCTGACCTTCCCTGTGACGGGCACACCTCTAACCCTGCCGAAGGGACGAGTCGAGCAGCTAGACCAAAGGTGCAAAACTGTGGCCCTGGCCTGTTTCTCACGTAAAGTTTTATTGGCACACAGCTACGCCCACTTGTTTACAGACTGCCTGCAGCTTCTTATGCTACAGTGGCAGAGCTGAGCTGTGACAGACGTGTGGCCTGAACTAGTCACTCTCTGCCCTTTGCACAGTTTGCTGACCTCTGAGTTAGAGCACAAAGAAAGCCAGGAGGAGGGACGGCCCAGAGACCTTCCGGAGTCTCAGCTCTCCGTGCCACCACCTGGTCCCAGCCACATCGGCCCTCCCCTGGACGGTGGCAGTCACCTCCTCCCTGGCCTCCACCTCACTGGAGCAACAGCCAGAGTCCCCCTCGCAGGCTCATGTTCCCGAAGCTGTGCTCACTTCGTTGTTGCACACACACGTGCACACACGCGCAGACAAATGCGGCTGTGAGTTCCCGCGGGGAGGACTTGTGTCTGTCTTGTTCACGGCTCTGTCCCCAGAGCCCAGCACGGTCCCTCACGCAGGAGGCGCCCCCTCGCAAACGGACAAAGAGACAGGGAGGCGTGGAATCCGCCTCGCGGGCAGGGGGCTGCTCCTCGAGGAAAAGCAGGTCTGAGCCAGGCACAGGGCACGGAGCAGAGGGGCTACTTCGGCCGGACGCCGGGAACAGCAGGGACACTGAGTTAGTGAGGGCGAGGCGGCCGCGGAGGGCACCCAGCAAGGGCCGCACAAGTGCCAAGGCCCTGGAGAGAAAGGTTCCTTGGTGGGGTGAAAGTTGACCTGTCCCGCTGAAAAGGTAGGAGATTTGGGGTCCCCCAAAGCCAGCGAGGGAAGGCCACAGAGCTCAGCGGTTGTGTGGCCTCTGAAGCCAGCCGGCCGGGGTTCGAATCCTGACCCCTACTTGCCATGTGACCTTGAGCAAGTTTCTTAACTGTCTGGGCTTCTACTTCTCCTTTGTTGACAGGGATGATATTAATACCAGTGTCAAAAGGTCCCGCATGGATTAAACTAACACATGGACAGCGCTTAGAAGGCCGGACAACGGCACGTCGATGGAGCCATTTCTGCCTCCTCCCCAGCTTCCTGCCCCAGGATCATCTCTGAACCATCCACCTCTCTACCCTTCTCACGTGCTTCCCCCGTGGGAAGTGACGTGTCGAGGGGGGGCTGGGGTGGGTGGTGTGAACGTCCCGGGAAGGGTCCTACCTTCCCCTCACACCCAGCCTGTCCTCTGTCCCCACAGACCCCTCTCCTCTCCTCCCCGTGGAAGCCCGGGGCCGGCCCGGGCTCGCTGTCCACGGAAGGCCACGTCCCCTCCAGGAGGAAGAGCACAGGAAGCCCGTGGATTTTACCTCGAATCTAGTCTGTTTTCCCAGCCACGCTTTAACCAGCCATCTTGATCCCCAGTGGACACCCCAAGTGATCTCTCTCCTTTTTTTAGTCCTCACTCAAGGGTATTTTCCCATTTTTATTCAGATAGCGTGTCAGGGGGAGAGAGAGAGAGAAACATCTACATGAGAGGGACACATCGAGCAGTTGCCTCCTGCACGACCCCAATCAGGGCCGGGAATGAATCGCAACCAAGCAAAGTACATGCCCTTGACTGAAATGAAACACGTGACTCATTGGTCCACAGGTCAACGCTCTAACCACTGAGCAAAACCGGCCAGGTGATCTCTTAATCAGTGCAGAACAGGGGCAAGGAAGGGGGAATTCAACAGCCACCCCAAACCCCCTGGTCTACAGGCCTGCAGACCTGGCATCTAGCCTGGGCTCACCCACAGGCATGTTGGGCAGCCTCTAGCCCACCATATGCTTTCTCTGGGCCTCAGTTTCCCCTCCCTGTGAAATATGCCGGGGCCAGGGCCGCACCAGCTCTCCTGTTCCAGGACGGCTGGGGCTGGGGGGGGGAAGGTCATTACCGTGGTGCATGAAGCCGTTGTTGCACAGGCCCACGCCGAGCGCCACTGCCTCCTCCCGTGTCTGGCAGTCGCCCTGGGACGGAACAAGAAGGGGAAGGCATTAGCTGGCTGGCACCCGAGGAGCTGTGTGAGGCTGGAGAAAAGCCCACCACCACCCCTGCCATGGAAGCTCCAGAAGGTAGGGATCTGTGTTTAGTTTACTGAGGTACCCCCAAAACATGTCTGTGATTGTTATTAATAAACCCCAAACAATATTATTTTATTGTATTTGCAATAAGTACACGGGGTGGTGTGTGATAAACACCACAAAAGAGAAATGGAGATTTGAAGTAGCAGACACTGTGGTTGCCTAGAAACAACCCTTCCAGATCCTGTAGTACTGAAATCCTCACTGATGTTGACGGCAATGCATCTATCGAGACAACCACAATCCCAGCCTCCCCCGCAGCTAAAGGTGGTCAATGAGACACAGGCAGAAATCACTGGAAGGGAACTCGGCTAAATCCTCTTTCTCCCTGGCCCCTCCTTTCTCTTCAGCCTGGAACAAAGACGTGATGGCTGGAGCTCCTGCAGTCATCCTAGACCTCGAGGACAGAGACACACTAAGGATGGTACAGCAGAAGGAGTGTGGTCTTCAAAGATATCATGAGGCTACCCTAGCAGCTGTGACCTACCAACCTCCAGTTTTCTCTCATACTACAGAAAAATAAACCCCTAATTTCTTTCAGACTCTGTAGTGGGGTCTCTGATTGAAATCAAGTTCAATTCCAAACTGACCTAGCTCTAGCCAGTGAGACATCTAGGAAAACCTACAGGGTGTTCTGGACGATCCCCTCCTCCCTAATAAAAGGGAAAGAAGCACCTCCCCTCCCTGCCTGGGGGAGCCAGAAGAGGAGGTGACACATGGGGTTGGGGGCTGTCCCGTGACCAAGGTGCAGATCTGCTGAGGGTAACCAAGGGGGAGCTGGAAGGCTCTTGACACATGGCCGGACCACGGTGTGGCACGGTTATCTGCTTAGGCCTCTGCTTAACTGGGTTTTCTGTCCCTGCAACGGACAACATTCTTAATTGGTACAGTTTAAATCAGAGGACCGGGTTCATCCCAGGGCTTCCCTGCGAAAGTGACTTCCAACCCAAACCTGAAGGGTGATCAGGTGTGGCCAGTGTGATGGGCCCACCTTTGGGGCCAACTCTCCCATGCAGAATGTCATCAGGATGGACAGTGTTTGCCCCCCCGCCCCCCAGGCCAGACTGAGGGCACACGGTCCGTGTGAGGCCAGTGTGATGCTCCCCGCCCCCGGAATGTGTCTCTGAGAGGACGAACCCCAGGACAAGGAACAGCTGGTATTGCTTTTCCCTGAGAGCATTGTCCTGAAGACGGGGTTCCCCCAGCTCCGGCTCCCGAGAAGCTGGGAGTTTCCTGACGCCAGTTCTTTCTAAAGCCTGGCTCCTGGGTCTTACCTGACTCTGTGGGTGCACCATGGCCTTCCAATACAACATCTCCCCTTTCCCCATTCCTTAAGTTAGCCAGGGTCTGCTTCTTGCAACCGAAATCATCTCAGCATTTTCAGGCAAAGTGTGTGAGTTGCGTGTGTGTGTGTGTGTGTGTGTGTGAGTTGCGTGTGTGTGTGTGTGTGTGTGTGAGTTGTGTGTGTGCATACGGTTGGGGAGGGGATCTGGAGGTGGGAGGAGCGTTGACAGGCAGAGGAAACCAGGACAAAGGTCTCGCAGTGGGAGGAGCTTGGAGCACAAAAGACAGCACGTAGGCAACGAGCCGGTGAGTGAGCAGGTCAGCTCCATGAGGCTGTGTCCCTGCTGGATCCCAAAGGCCTGGCATATCGTAGGTGCTCAATAAATAAGTGCTGATTAGCTGGAGGTGTTGTCAGCAGGGGCCGACTCCTGTGGGAGCTTGGAGCCAAGCCAATGAGCTTCAACGACATTCAGACAGCCTCTCGCTGAAACACTTCCCAAAGTGAAGTCCCGAGAGGCACTCGCCAGCCAGGCCAGAGGCGTCATTGTCCCAGTCTCCTTGATCATCAGAGGGGCCAGGGAGGGACTTTCCCAGCTGCAGGACAAGTGAAGGCCGAAGGCTGCAGGACTCGGTCTGCCAGGACGGGGGCTCAGACACAGAGCGAGGGCCTGGAGGAGCCGCCAGCCTCGTGTTCTGCTGCACTGGCTGACCCGGCAGACAGGAGGAAGACACATCTCTCCCGTGGGACCCCAGGCAGGGGCGGAGGGCTGGCGGGCTGAGAGCCCTGCCACAGGGGGCCGCCTTCCATGAAAGAGGCCCCACCTGAGCAGTCGCCCCCCAACTGTGACGGGCCAGCAGGGAGGCAGAGCCGGGCCCAGGTGTCTAGCAGGCCCTGCTCTGCGGCCTGGGAGCTGTCTGGTGCCCACCTGGCTTTCTGAGGCACTCAATCTGGGCTCCTAACCCATCCCTGCTCCCCTGCTCCCCAAAGGGCCCTGTGGTGACCCACAGGGAGGCCCCTAAAGTTAGAACAGCAGCGGGATTCTCAGGTTGCCAGTGAAGTACGTTGACCCTAGATGCACCCGTCACCTGAAACGTAAGCCCCCACCCCACATCCCATCAGCTGTGGGGAAACCACAGGTCACCCTTCTCCCCTCTCGGAGGAAGGCTGGGACACATACCACCACACTGGCCCTGTGTCCTCTCCCCCACTTGCCTACTCAGCCCCCCATGCCAGCCTGGCCCTTTGCCTGCCCCCACCCTGGCCCCTGGCCCCCTGGACTGACAACCCCAACACGGTCAGCACACGCCATCTGCCTGAGGGGTGGGGGTCTGTGTGGGGCACGTGGGCACGTTTCTGCTGAGCCAGGACTGGGGCTGGCAGGTCTGTGCTTCCCGCACCTGTCTCTCTGCTCGCTCCCTCCCAGCCCAGCGACCCCGGGCCCTCCACTGACGGCCAGTCCCTGGGGCCCAGGCAGCATGGGCCAAAACCCACTCTGCAGCCAGAGTCCCGGGTTCAAAATCCCGCGTGGCCTGTGGCCGTGGACAATTCCTCAACCTCTCTGAGTTTCATTTCCTTATCTGTATGGGGGGGGTGATCCTCACCTGAGGATATTTCTCCATTGATTTTTAGATAGAGTGGAAGGGAGGGAGAGAGAAAGAGAAACATCAATGTGAGAGAAGACACATTGATTGGCTGCCTCCCACATGACCCCAACCAAGGCCAGGGACTGAACCAGCAACTCAGGTACATGCCCTTGACCTGGAATCGAACCCGTGACTCTTTGGTCTGCAGACCAATGCTCTAACCACTAAGCAACCGGCCAGAGCTCATCTGCATTTTTTTTATACCCAAGTTTGCCCTTAATTTTCTAAGGCCTCTGCCACCCCTGAGTGACACCTGAGCTTTGCTCAGACTCCACAGTATCAGCTTTCATTAACACCGAGTGCTACTGTTACTATTAATAGTATTATTATCGACCACCACAGCATCCTAAGAGCTCCCACACACAATCTTATAGGAATACCCCATTCCTGGGTGTCCTGAGGCAAGTTACATTACCTGTGCCTCAGTTTCCTCATCAGTAAAATGGAAATAACTTTTCCTCAGGCTATTCTCAGGGTTATGAGGTAACACACAGAGGCTCTCAAAACTGATACAAAGCACAGCTTGTCTATCGAAGGGCTAATACCCACCTTATCCTCAGAATGAAAAGAACTCTGATTTGTCCAAGCAGAGAGTGGGAAGCCCCTCCCCCAGCCTCAAGGGATGAGTTCTGAGAAATTCTAAGCCATTCTCAGCAACCCCTGGTTCTCATCCCCAGGAGTGGTTTAGGGGTACACAAGGGACCCATATGGCCCATGAGACCTAAGAGGAAAACCACTGAGAAGTGGAGGGAACTGGGGGAGGTTTCCTCTCCCACTAAACAAAATAGGAAAACTCTCTCCAAATGCTCCTGCTGCCTACCTGTGTCTCTAAGTCTGCACAAATGTGATGGCTGGAGCTGGGCAGCCACATTACGACTATGAAGCAACTGGCAAGAAGACGGCAGAACAGAAAGATGGAAAGAGCCTGGTGTAAATGGCTTTGTGAGCTGTAGGACCATGAACTGTGGATGCCTAGTTATGTGAGGAAAACAATGTCTTTATTGTAAAAATCAGGTCTCCTATTTCGTGCAGCAAAAAGTATTTCTAGCCCTGGCCGGTCTGGCTCTGTGGTTAGAGCATCGGCCTGCGGGACCAATGAGTCACAGGTGCGATTCTGGTCAAGGGCAGGTACATTGGTTATAGTTCATCCTGGCCCTGGTCAGGGTCATACGGGGGGGCAACCAGTCAATGTGCCCCCTCATGTGGATGTTTCTCTCTTCTCTCTCTCTCCCTCCCTCCCTCCCTCCCACTCTATCTGAAGATAAACAGAAAAATATCCTCGGGCAAGGATTTAAAAAAAAGTATTTCTAGCTGATCAGTATTCAAGGAGCATACTGACCTAGCAGTCAGAGATGAAGAGGTGTTTAAAGCGAAGGAACCTTCCCGAGCGACAAGTGTATGTGTTCTTGACTTTCCTGCTGAGGTGCAAGGTGGGGAAGACTCGCCATAACCAGTCTTCAAGGTCACAGCTACATCTCCAACCTCTCCCCACAGAAACCTGCACACACACCCTCCGCCTCTTCTTCCTGACCCAGAGCCAGATGCCAGCTGTCTTTTGGTCAATCTCTTGCAGGTCATGTTCCTGCATCGGCTCCAATTAGCTTCCCTGTGCCCCCAGACCAGGCAGAGCCATGGGAAGGTGTGCTGAAGTGGACAGACACATGTCATGGTCCGATGCATCCTCCCCCTACCTCTACGTGCAACAGGATGCTTGGTGGGGGTGGGGGGAGTGTCCTCAGAGCTTCTGTTAGCACCGGCCACAAGCGGGCCCCCGCTATGCCCAACTCCGATGACCAGAGAAACCCACTCTGGCAGGTGCTGGTCCCCCCTCCTTCCAGAGTGCTCCAGGGTGCAGTCCTGACCTTTCCCAGCTCAGCCAAGGACCTTGCAGTTATTTTAGACTCTCTCTATCAGTCACCTCCCACACCCCGTCCACCTACCGGCAAACTGTAGATCTACCTTCCAAACATCCGGGATCTGACCCTTTCTCCCGCCTTCCCCACGGCCACCCAGTTCTCGGGCACCGTGCTCCCCCGCCTGGAGTTCTAAGGCTGCCTCCTCCCCAGTGTCCTCCTCCCGCCACCTCCACACAGCCACCGCCACACAGCCAGAGGGAGCTTAACCCACCGGTCAGATGCCAGAGGGAGCTTAACCCACCGGTCAGATGCGTCCCTCCTGTGCCCAGAGCCCAGCGGCTGCTGAAGCCCTCCAATGGCCCACGGGCTCCGTGTGACTGGCCCCCACCAGCTTGCCCATCACCCCTCCCTCTCGCTGCTCTGACATACCAAGTCACCTAAGGCCGAGCCTCTGCGACGCTGTCCCTTCACCGAAGGGTCCATCCCCAGACATCCCCCTGGCTTGCTCCCCTCCTCCCGTAGGTCTCTGCTCACATGTCCCTGCTCGATAAGCCTGCTCTGACCCCCTATGGAAACCGCACCACCCCTCCCATTTGAAGGGTGAATCCCCCCGCAGCTCCAACATGCACTGCCCCCTCATGCTGGCACCAGTAACATATTACATATTTAACTTCTTTCTATTGTTTATTAAATGTCTCCCCTGCCCCCCACCAGAATGTACAGTCCAGGAGGGCGGGAACTTTGCCTTGTTTACTGCCACGTCCCCGGAACCTAAGGCAGCGCCTGGACAGAGAAAGAAGGGGATGAGCTCGTGAGCCCTCGCGGATGGTCTCTCTGCCCTCTTCCAACCATTCATTTCAGACCTACCCAGGAGCTGACAAGGAACAGAATATCTGCAGCGGAGATGTCGCCTGAGCGCCCGGCATGCAAAGTCTCCTCCTCTTCCACCCACCCACGGGAAGTCCAGTGGGCAGCGCCTACCCACGCCCGAGGCACCAGCATTTCCTGTCGCCCTCCCGTCGCTGTGAATGGCACTTCTGGGCGCCCATCGCGCCGAAATCCCCGGCCTTGTCTTTGACTCCCACCCCACCCCCAGCAACGTACCCTAAGCCTTCCGTCTCCGAAGAGGTCTCAGATCCACCGGCTTCTGGCCATCTTGGTGACCCACCCCACCCCCGGCTCACGTCTGGGATTCGACACTCAGGGCAAAGTCCACACCGGGCTTTACCGCCAAGGGCAGCCGTGGGCACCGATGGCACGTGGGAAGCGGGAGGCCACAGAACCACCCGAGATGCGAGAGGCACCATGTCAAGAGAGCCCTGAACCCGGCGTGTCTGGGCTTTGACCAAAGACCCTGAGCCCCAAAAGAAAACGCCAAAGGTCACCCCTCCCCTGTCGCTGGGGCACATTCAGGATGCAGGACTCCGTGCCGCCCACACCCTCCAGCTGTTTGCTTTCTTGTCGTGCGGTTCCTGGGCCCGAATCCCTCTGCAGTGTTTTCCTTCCTGCCTATGATTTTGAGCCACCCTGACTCTAAGGACATGGAATTGTAACAACAGTTACATTCACTCTGCGCCAGGCGCCCTGTGGAACAACGTACGTGATCCACTCTGAATCCTCAAAACAACCTAAAGATACATTTTTTTAGCTTCATTTTGCAGGTGTGGAAACTGAGACGGAGAGAGGTTAAGTGGCTTGTCCAGGATCACCCAGCTAGGAAGTGGCAGAGGTAGGACCTGAACCAAGTAAAACAGGCTCTGGGCTGGTTTCCTGGGAGAGGGCAGTGTAGCCCAATGGTTAGACGTGCAGTGTGTTTCCCAAATGTGCAAATCTGAATTTAAATCCTGGGTCGTTTCAAGACACTCCGGACCTTAGGGTTCCCCGCATCATAGCAAACAGATGAAAATGCACCCACATCCCAAGTTAAAGACGGGTGTGTTTTGTTTTGTTTTGTTTTGGCTCGTAACATATTTTAAAGGATTTTTCTAAACTTGCTTCTGAACGCATCTGACGCCAAGAAACAATTACTTTACAGATTTGTTGGGGTTTCCAGGCCGTCACCAGGAATGTGCGACGGGGGAAAGCCCGGCCAGCAAACTGTGTTTCGAGTGGAATGCGGTTTCCATGAACGCTCACGGAAACGCTGACACAAAGCTGTAAATGTGTAAACACTTATCCGCTTGGATTTTGCTGTTGTCTCCTCATCTTGGGAGCCACTGCGTTCTTTTCACAGACTGCAAGTGAACATTCTTGTGGGCTCCCTGAAAAGTCTGCAGCACTGGGGCACCCGTCGAAAGACAGGCCCGTCTGAGTCCCGGCTCTCTGCTACGAGGCTGTGTGCCCCGGCCCAGGCACCTGGCCTCTCCGGGCCCCAGCTCCCCCAGCTGTAAGTGGGGTGGAGGACTCAGAGAGATAATGCCACGGCCCAGCCACTGCCTGGCCCAGAGGAAGCGCCCTGGAAGCCACAGAGGGCATAAGACAGGCAGACAGGAGAGTCCGCGGCACCTTGATGGAACAAGCACCTTTGGAAAGTTGCAGCAAAATCGACGCCTGGATTTCCCACACCTCTACCCAGCCCCTACCCACTGGGAACCTATGTGAAAGTAGTGATTTGGCAAGTCGTGGTAGGGGGGGTTCCGCTGACCTTGCAACCCAACTGAAATGATGTGGGGCCAGGACGAGGCCAACGTGTCCCAGTCTAGTTGCCGAGGACCATCCGGTTTTAAAACTGACTGATGAACTGATAAGTGAAATGTGGTCCATCGGTACAACACAGTGTTGTTCAGTCTTAAAGAGAAAGTAACTTCTGACACACGCCACAGCATGGATGAACCTTGAGACGTGATGCTGAGTGAAATAAGCAGACACAGAAAGACAAACGCTGGCGGTTCCACTCATACAGGGACCCAGAGCAGTCAGATCGATACAGAGAAAGTAGAAAGGCGGTTGCCGAGCGCTGGGGAGGGAGCACGAGGAGTCAGTGTTTGATGGGTTCAGGGGTTCGGCTCCACGCGATGAGGAGAGCTCTGGAGATGGACGGCGGGGATGGCTGCAGGGCAGTGTGATGTACCTACAACCAGAGGACTATGTACCTAAGATGGCTACGGTGGTCAGTGTTGTGTGTATTTTACCACAGGTGGAAAAAAAGTAAAAAGTGAAAAAGAGAAAGACCTCAAAGGACCACATCCGGGTGAGCCCTCAGTCCTGGGCAGGGCGCGAGTCGGGGGGTTCTCACCTGAGCCAGCAGCCAGTCCACCAGCTTGCTCCCCGGCAGCACCGACTTGTACGTCTTCAGGTGGTAATCGCGGTCTCTGCAGGGAGGGGAAGGGCACCGTGAGCGGCTGGGGAGCAGACCCAGCTTCCCTGCCCCAGTGCCCCGAATGCAACGTTCCCAGGCTCCGGGGCACGTCTGTCCCAAGCAGGACCCCCTTTTCACCTACAGAGTGGGGGTGCAGGAGCAGATGGCTGTAAGTCTCCTCCCGCCAGCCCAGGGGCTCTCAAGCAGGAGCAACTTGGCCCCCCAAGGAGCCCCTGGCTGTGTCTGGAGACATTTTTGGCCATCATGACCTGGCACGAGGTGAGGGTAATACTGGCATCTAGCAGGCACAGGCCAGGGATGCCCCTAAACATCCCAAATAAAGAATTATCCAGCCCAAAATGTCAACAGCACCATGACGATAGAACTGATTTACTCTGAGTAGTGAGAAAAACTCTCTATTCTTTCCTCTGTTTGTGGTTTGTTTTGTTGTTAACATTCGTGCCCTCAAAGGTGACAAACTATTCCAAAGTGACAACGCCTCTCCTCTCGAGGGCTGGTGTGGGGGAGGGACTGAGCAGGGGGGACATGCCCGCTTCTTTCTGAGGCAAATGCTCCGACCCCACCCGTGTGGCCTCTGAACCCCTGATGAGTCCTGGCAGGAAGGGTTCCGCTGACCTTGCAACCAAATTGTAATAATTCCCCAGCCTCTAAAGCCAACAGAAATGAGCTTATGTGGCCAGCTCATGCCGAGGCTGACAAGATCCAGCTGGGGAGCTCTCGGGTTTTCAGGAGCTGGGGGTGTTGGGGGGCCCTTCTGGGACTTGCAGAAGAGCAGCAGGGGAGGGTATGCGGGCGGGGGGGGGGGCAGGTCTGGAGATGAAAGTGGTTCCCAGGGCCTGGCCTCCAATGAGCCCAAAGGCCAAGGAGAACAGCCAATGCCAGGGAGGGCCCCTCCTCTCTGCTCCTCTGAGAGGTGGGAAGAGCTGTCAGGAGAAGGGGACAGAGGAACCTGCTGCTCCTGGATAAGAACCAGGTCAACCTCTCTGACCCTTCACCCACAACCATGAGCCTCGTGGTAAAGACAAGCACCAATCACTGGCATTTCTACAGCATTCACTAGGTGCCAGGCGCCATTCACACTGAATCCTCGTGACAAACCAAGAGGTGTGAGCTATTCTTAGCCCCATTTCACAGATGCAGAAACAGAGGCAAAAGAGAGTCATTACCTTTCAGCACTTGGTCAACAGACATTCACTACGCGCTACTTTGCCCTAGGCCTGCACTCTCCAATATGTGGCCATTATTCAATCAATTAACATTAACTGAAACTTAAAATCACATTCCTCAGTCTCAAGGGACTAGAAGTGACTGGACTGACGGCACAGATACAGAGCAATTCTCAGTGTGGAAAGTTCTACTGGACAGCGCTGTTCCAGAGGCCGTTCAGAGGTCTTGGGACACAGCAATGAGCAAGTTGCCTGCCCTTGGTGAGTTTATAATTCTGGGGGGTTGGGGAAGAGAGCACAGATTAAGAAATAAATATATGTCATACTGACAAGTTCAAGAAGAGAACCAATGAAGTAAGGAGAATAGTGTGTACCGATGGTGATACTTTACAAAGGTGGTCAGGGAAGGCCCTTCTGAGACATTTGAAGGAATTAAGGAAGCAAATATGCATGTATGTAAGGAAAGAGCATTTCAGGCAGAGGGAACAGCAAGTGCAAAGGCCCTGAGGTAGATCCTATTAGTATCCCCATTCCACAGAGGAAAAAGCTGAGGCACCAGGTTAAATAACTGCCCAAGGTCACACTGCCCAGGGTAACTAGCTGGCTGAGATTCAAACTCCCCACCATGCTGCAGTGTTTCCCAAAAAAAACTCACTCAGCCCTAACAACCATCAGGGTAGGTATGATTATTAGCCCCATCTGATGAAGAAGACTGAGGCTCAGTGAAGTTATCAGCCCAAAGCCACGAGCTGAGAAGAGACAGGAGTGAAACCGAAGCTTGGAGAGGTCACTTACTTGATCACGGGGGTATAGAGACTGTGCAGACGGCAGTAAAGCCTCACACCCTGCAAGGAAAAAAGGGGGAGTCTAGGATCAGGCCACATCCTTCAGGGGCCTCCAAATCCAAGCTGCTGGGAGAGGTGGCTCCTGGGAAGGAGCAGATGGGTGGGGGAGAGAGGGAAGGGGGGTTGTGGGGTCAGTGGAGGAGGAGGGAGGCCACTGGGCCATCGGCCTGCTCCGTGGAGACTGAGGGGTGAGGATGATGGGGTCAGGGTGACAGGGTCCCCACCTTGGACATGATGTCCTCCAGCTCACTCCGGGCCTTGTACGTGCCATCATCGTAGCGGAAGCGGTACATCACCTGCTCGTTCTTGAACTGGTGCTTGTCAGAAACTAGAGGGACGCAGGGGGTCGGTGAAGCAGAGCAGGCCCCCTCGACCCACGCCCACCATAATCACCCCCCAGCTGGCCAGGCTGTGTGCGAGCGAATCTCACTGAACCCTGCCCATGCCACGTGCAGGGCCCCACCGAGACCTGCAACTTGGGTGGTGAGAGGCCCAGCAATCCCCCCCGATCCAGCCTGCGTGGGGCCCATCGGGCCCAGCATCTCCTTGGAGCTGCATCGGCAAAGCATGTGTGGGGACCAAGTGTGCCGGGTGTGAGACCACTGTCAGGACGCACGGAACCATCTCGACATGGCGGCCTTGAGCCACCCTTGTGTTTCTCTCTCACTCCCCGCTTTGGAGCCATTAGCAAACCCTGTTGGCTCTTCCTTCAAAACCTTCAGAATCGGACTCTATACTCCCACCTGGTCCAAGCCACCTCCGTCTCCGGCCTGAAACATCACGGCTGCCTCCTCGCTGAGCACCCTTCAGCTACCCTCAGCTCACGGTCCAAAAGGACCCTGGTAAAGTCCGAGTCTAGGCAGGTCTCTCCTCTACTCAGAACTCAGCAGTGGCTTCACGTGTCACCCAGAGTAAAGCTAAAGACCCTACAATCCCGTGAGGTCCTGGACCTCATCCCCTGAACACTCCCCTGGTCCTGTGCCCTCTGACCTCATCTAACACTCTGCCTGCCCACTCCTGGCCTCCTTGCTGTTCCCTGAAAACGTATCCTCCCATCCTGAGTACTTCGCACTGGCTGTTCCCTCTGCCTGGAACCCCAAGGCCCCCTGGCTCTCTCCCTCTCTCAGGTGTTGGTTCCATTGTCACCTTCCCAGTGAGGCCTTCCCAACTCCCCTATTCAAAATCGAAACCCCCTCCCTAGCACTTCCCACCACCTATATACACTTTTTAAAATTTATCTTGTTTACTGTCTTTTCCCCACAACCAGAAACTTGGCCCCATGAGGACAAGAATTTTCTTCTGTCCCGTTCACGGCTGCGTGGACAGTGCCTGGCCTCAAACAAGCACTCAATAAACTTAAACCAATGGTTCTTGCCTTTTCTGAAGGAACAGACAGAAAATTCTATTCCCCTGCCCCCATCTTTCTGAGGGTACATTGCTGGTACCCTAGGGGAGGGAGTGAGCAGTTTTATAAGGGCATCCACGCTGCTGGGACCCCACTGTGCCCAGGAACAGGCGGATGCCCAGAAGTACAGCAATAGCCTGAGTCGGTGGAAACAGCATAGCGGGGGTGTGACCAAGCCCCGCCCCTTAGCCCACCCTGGCCCAGCCCCCACTCACCATGGTGGATAATGCCGTTCTCCAGCAAGGCCTGGCCCAAGTTCACTCCTTCTTCGGTCTTGCTGATCTCACCAATTTCCAGGAGCCAGGCAACAAACTCACTGCCAGGAATACACGATGTGGTTGAGAGGACCTCCAGTCCTGGGACCCCCAGAGGCCAGCACTAAGCTGACCTGGCCTCACCCACTCCTGGGAAGGCTGGCTAAACTTCCCTCGGGGCAGCAACGCTCAGGGGCCCACAGCCCTGGGGGTTGTGCTGAGGCCTCACGCTTCTCCCTACGACCAAGGCAGAGAGGTAGCTGTGACCAGACCTCAGGCTGGATGGAGGACGGATGGACGGACGGATGGATGGACGGACAGGAGCGTGAGAGAATGGGAGGGTGGACAGATGGACACATGAGTAAGTACGGAAACGAATGAAAAGTGAATGGGTAAGTGGATGAGTTCACAGAAAAATGAATGATTGGTGGTTGGCAAGACTGGGGAGTAGGGGGTGGATGGTAAGTGGAGAGATAACTGGGTAGATAGGTGGGGGAGTGTATGATGGATGGATGGACAGAAGGAATGAGAAAATAAACAAGCAGGAAGAAATAAGGGTCCAGAAAGATAACTGTGGAGAGTCAGGAGAGCTCATGGTGATCAAATCATGTCAGTCTCCTACTTGAAACCCTCCAATGGGCTTCTCCACGATTCTCAGAGCAAAACAAACAAACTCTGCCCACATGAGAACAAGGCCTGCAGAGTCTCATGATCTCATCTCCTCTGTCTTTCATTTATTATGCTTTAGTCACACCCACCATCTTCCCCTTCTTAAAAAAAATGCCAGATTCCTGCCTGCCTCAGGGCCTTTGCACTTGCTGTTCCCTCGGCCTGGAAACACTCTTCCACAGCTCTTCAGGTAGCCCTTGCTTTTCATCCTTCAAGTCTCAGCTCAAATGCCACCTCCTCAGAGAAGCCTTCCCTGACCACCTCATCAAAATCAGTCTCTTATCCCCACACAAACCATCACATCTCTTGGTTTTGCTTCCTCTTTAATACTTGTAACTGTCTGAAGTTGTACTATTTGCAGATTTATTTATGTCTACCAGCCACCTCCCCCGACCAGGATGTCATCTCCACGCTATCATATGCATGAACCAAGAAGAGGGTTTAAAACACAGGAGGGCTCAATGAATCATGTACTGAACAAATGAAGAAATGAACCATCGATCAAGAAGGAATATTCTGGGACCTGGAGGAGGACTTGGGGAGAAAGCAGTGCTCACAGGCCAGAGGAAGGCAGGCAAACCTAACGTGACTACCCCGCGGGGCAGAGGCTCAGCCAGACCCCCGCTCCTGGCTCTCGGCGGTGCGCTCGGGCCCAGCAGAGTTCAACCCACTCGAAGTCAGCAGGAAAAGGGAGAGCTGGGAACGGGGCTGTTTCCGCCTAGCAATCTGTGTTCAATGAAAGCAGGTGGCAGCTGGCCAGAGCACAGAGCTCTCCTGCTTATCGAAACCAGCTGTCCCGCCTCCAATTACAGGGCCAGAGGGGGCAGGGCTATTTTTAGCTTTCCAGGGTTTGCTGAGCAAAGACCTGCCTTGTGTGTAGGTAGTGTTGTGTGCTGAGGCATTCAGCAAATCTGGGGTGCAGGCCCAGGGGGGCGTAGAAGAAATGGATCTGTTTTGTGGAGCAGGACCAAGGTGGAGAAAACATTGCTCAGGGTCCTGCCCGCCCCCAGTGCCATTCTAAGTCCCGAACATCAGAGACAGGGAGAAAAGTCGCCAGCAGCTGAGAGCAGTGAAGAGATGCCGAGTGCCCACTCCCGGAAGCTAGAGGCTCAGCATCCGCTGCCCACCCGCGGTCCCATTGGGGGCCGCCTCCGGCACTGAGCCACGGCCCTGTGGCTGGGGGTGGGGGGCAGGAAGTACCCCACTGCAGATGCTGGGACAGGAGAAGACAGACCAGAGAACAGCAGCTGTGACTATGTTTCTGCCCTGCGGCGAGTCTTGCCCCTTATAGACGAATAAAGAGGGTTCACAGCTTGCTGGGCAAACCTGGGCAAGCCGCTGTCCCTCTCTGGGCCTCAACAGGGTCCATCTGGCAAGTGGTTCATTCAGGGGCCTTATGGATTTAACAGGTAAACTTTCTAATCATACAAAATCTTAAGCTGGGATCCAGTGTGCAAAACCAGATAAAATTCATCTCGGAAGCCGACAGTGGTTAATGGGAAGACTAAGGCATCCTATGGCTTTTCAAGAGAAGCCGGAAATCCGGCATTTCCTGTGAAATCTCCCAGCTAGTAAATGCAGATACCGAGTCCAAAGTTTTCTGAAAGCACCACGTGGCCTACGGAAAACACATCTGCGAACTGAGCTGGGTCAGTGGGGCACCATTTACCACCAATGGGGTGCAGGGAAGGGTGTTCTAGGCAGGGGGATCAGCACACACCAAGGCCCTGAGTGAAACAAGGTTAGGACACCAGAGCAGCAAGACCCAATCTTCCAGAAGGACGTGACTGGGAGCAGTAATCTGAGGACACACAGAGAAGGTCAGCCAGGTTTGGTGGTGAGTTGAAATTCAGGGAATAGGGGACTAGTTGGGAATTGTATCCCCCCTTCCTTCCTGGTCCCCAGAATCATTCACCCAGTAAACATGTACTCAGCCTATGATGCGCCAAGCCCAGTGCTGGCCACAGGGGGCACCCAGGTACGTCTTTGCAGTCTTCCTAGGAAAGCCCCCTATGAGGCCCAATGTACCTCTCCCACCAGTTCAAGAACCCCCTTGCCTATCTCTTCCATGGCCTTGAGCTCCATGAGGGTAAGGACTTGGGGGGGGGGGGTCAGTATTGTAAACTCCACTGCCTGAAGATGCTTCCTGAAGATATCTGTGGTGATGTCCGATAAATCATTGATCAGCTATTACATGCTAATACCCTGCACCTGTGCACACAGATAGACAAGACACCTCCGAACTTCCATTCGGGCAGACGTGAATAACTGAAGGACATCTGACCTCAGTCCAAGGTGAAATCAGAGGCCTTCTCCTTCCAGGCAGCCTTCCCTGAATGCCTCTGCCAGACAGACCGTCACACCCTGTCCCCCGAGCTCTAATATCTCTGACTGTCCTCACATTCAGGGCCTGCATGATGGTTCACCCTCACCTCCCGCTCGGCTTAGACTCTTTCAGTGGCTTCCCAGAGCACCTAGAGTAAAAGCTGAACCTCTCACCCTAACCTGCCTGGTCGGCCCATCAGCCCCTGTGCTGCTGCCTCCCACCCCTCCGCTACTCACTCCCTCCAGCCGCACCGACCTCCTTACTGTTCAGTTACTTACTGGAGGCTCATTCCCCCTTGGAGCTTGTGCACCTGCTGTTCCCTCCGCCAGGATGCTGTTCCCCCAGATCTTTCCATGGCTGGCTGGCTTGTCATCCAGACCTTGGTTAAAATGCTACCTCTGCTGAGAGACTCTTCCTGACTGAAACAGCACCCCATTTCCTTGCCTTATACCAACCTACTTACTTCCTTACAGCATATTCAACACTCTGAAATCCCCTTCTTCATTTGTCTTTAGTTGTATTTGTCTACTTGTCTATTTGCTGATGCCCCGACTGGCTGGCTATGGCCGTGAGGTCAGGGATCTCGCCTGTCCTGTCCACAGCTGGCAGGTAGTAAGTAAACACTGGATGAATGGGATGAATGAACGAAGAATCGATTCTGTGTCCCCAGCTAATCTGAGGATCCGAGCGGACAAATGCCATGTTCCTCCCATGACGCCTCCACAGTGATACACAGATTTACTCCTTGGTTTTTGTCATGTGGCACCTGTGAGTTCTGACTCTGAGCTGGGCAGAAACAGGCCACCCCTTAAGCCCAATACACATTTCTAGCACTCCTGCTAGCACTGTGCTGAGCAGGTCACATGCATTTTCCCACTGTGTCCGCCAACAACCCTATCCGGCACGTTTTATTCTCTCTCGTTAGTCACTGTCTAGGCTCAAAGAAGTTAAGAAACTTGCCCAGAGAAACACGGGTGGAAAGTGGGAGCTCCAGGACTTGAGTCCAAGTCTGACTCAAAGCCCACAACCCTTGCAGGTTATGAAGATAAATCAGACACTTTTTGTGTTCCTGGAGTTCCCTGCCTAGCAGTAGAGACAAACGGGGAAAGTAACTATCAAGTAAAACTGAAATGCGCTTAATAGAGATAAAAATAAATGAATGCGGCAGAGTGCGGTGGGAGAGTCCTGCATTCACGTCCCGGCGCCCCACTGTGACCTGTGCGGGACGCTGTCCCTCTCTGTGCCTCCGTGCCCCGACTCTTACAGTGGGGTTACGGCAGTCACCTGATGCACAGTGTTGTGTGAAAGTCAGAGGCACAGCCACATGCCAGCCCGGGAGCAGAGACAGCTGCTGGCTCTTTCCACCGAGGGTGCTCCTGGAGGAGGCGGCTCAGGAGCTGAGCCCCGGCAGGGAAGGAGGAGATCATGAGCCCCAGGCTGGGTGCACAGCGCAGCCATGCAAGGAGGAAAGTTTCACAAAAGTGTCCTGCAGGACAACAGGTCTTTAAGGCCCCGGTGATTACACAACAAGTTTTAATTCTGGCCCTGTTTCAAATGAGCCGTAAAAGAAATCTCCCTAATCCTTCCTGAGGACACAGAACACCCCGCTGAAGCTCTAATCGCAGACAGGTTATCCCATCCGGCTGGACTGTGCTCTCAGAGGGAAGTGGGGAGGTCCTCCGACCCCAAGGGGAGAGGGCGGAAGCAGGCCCCTCCTGAGGGAAAAACCTTCTTCCTGCCCAGGGATTAGGGATTAGCCAATGGAGACCAGCCAGGCTGTCCCTTCCCCACTTCCCATGGCCCACAGGTCTGGGGCCCACATCTCCTCTCCACCCAGGGAGCTTGAAGTTGGGGTGGCTGATCCCTGAGGGCAACAGGGTAGCCCAAATCCAGGGCATCTGGGTCACCCCTCAGGGGCCCAACCACCCCCCAAATCTCCTACCAGCTGCCCTGCCAACACAAGCCTTGAGCCATGACCAGTCTGCCCAGTTCCACACTCGATCTCCAATGGCCCGTCCAACATTGACACTTGAATGTCTACCAGGAATGTCAACTAACCCATCCAAACCTAAGCTTCAGTCTCCCAGTGTCTCTGTATCTTTCTCCAGCGGCTTCTGAGCACCACACTCGCCCCGAGGGCCTCTCACCTCTCTGCCAGCCCCCTCTCCGATGCCTTTGCTGGCCCTTCCTCCAAAGGTCATCAGGCCCCCAGACCCAGTCCCTGCCTCGTCCCTCTCTACTCATCCTCCCGATTTCATCCAGTTCTGTGACTCTAAAGACATCGAAATGCTCACATCTCCTGCACTCAGGCCCCCAACCCAGACTTTTCTCCCTGAGTCAAGCTTTTATACCCAACTAACAAGTCAACATCTCCATCCAGGTGGCCTCTGAGCTCTGTTCCCGCCCCTTGAAACCTGCTCCCCCCTTTCTCCTTCCCCTTCTCAGCAAGCAGCAACTCCCACTTTCGTGTCAACCCTCAATTACCTTTGTTCTCAGCTCACAGGCAAATGCCGTCACCTTCAAGATGACCCAGAACACAGCCATCTTCCCCCATCTCCACTGTGACTGCCCTCGTCCCAGCCACCTCTCACCTGGTCTGTGCACGGTAATGACACAGTGGCTTTTACCTGAAGCCTCTCCCAAAGCTTCTGGGGAGTAGGTGAGATATAAATGAATAATTTCTAAATAAAGTCCCTGCCCCACAGGCAATCTCCTCCCCCTACGTGGGCCACGACTTCGGGAGGTCGGGAGTCCTCGGCATTCTTATGCCCTCTCCGGAGTGTCAACCACCATGTCTAGCACACAGCAGGGTCTAAAAACCACCTGACAGTTTTACAGGGACTGCATGTCTTCTGCCTCTCCCAACCCCCAGGTGAATGCCCCTGCCCTGGATGAATGAAACCTGGGTTTAAGATCCAATCCGAAGTCAGATGCCTTAGAATGTATCCTAAGAAACCCAAAACACCAATCGCACAAATATAGGCACTACATGTTCACTGCAGCGTTACTCACAAGAGCCAAGTGCCCATCAGTGATTGGCTAAAAGTGGATAAAAAAGCTGTGATACATTTACACAATGGAGTACTACTCAGCTGTAAAAAAAAAAAAGAAGGAACTCCTACCCTTTGCAACAGCATGGATGGACCTGGAGATTATTTTGCTAAGTGAAATAAGCCAGTCAGGGAAAGAAAAATACAATATGATCTCACTTATATGTAGAATCTAATGGACAAAATTAAAACTGACAAACAAAATAGCACCAGAGGCATGGATACATGGAACAGTCTGACAGATCTCCAAGGGGTGGGGGAGGGGAGACTGGATAAAGAAGGTGAAGGGATTAGCCAAAGAACACATATGCATGGCCCACGGACACAGACAACAATGTGGTGAAGGCCAGAGGCGGGCAGGGCTGGGTGGAGTTGTGCAAAGGCGGGGAGGGGGAAATGGGAAACATCTGTAATAGTGTCAACAATAAAAAAATTTTTTTAATTAAATAAAAGATCCAATCCGGTCACACCTGTGCTCTGACCCCTTTGCTCCTTGGTTATAAAATGCAGGCAGGGGTAAAATGTCATATTAGTAGTAACTAACAGATTTCCCAAACAGAGAAATTAGAAGCCCTAAATACTGAAAAGCTTACAGAACCCTCCCCCTCCTCCTCCCTCATACGTAACTCAGGAAGGGAGACCTCACCAGACACCAACCCTGCAGACACCTTGTTCTCAGACTTCCAGCCTCCAGCACTGTGAGAAAATACATTTCTGTTGTTTAAGCTGCCCGGTCTGTGGCACTCTGTCATGGCAGCCCCAGTAGACTGATACAGAGCCTGCGTTGGCTCTTCCAGACTTTCCATCACCTCTGTAATCACCGCCTGTGTCAAACACCTCTCTGCTCAGAACATCTACAGTGGCTTCTCTGTCCCTGGGTGCTAGAGCACCATTTTTCAATCCATGGTGGACAACCTACTAGTAGCTTGTGAAATACATTTCATAGGTTTCGCTCAGGATTATTTTTTAAATGAATTAAGAAATGACTTGAGAATAGAAAGGATAGGATAGGATCAGATAGGACAGGACCAGTCAGGATAGAAAAAAAATAGAATAGAAAGAGAGAACAGATTTTCAGAGTACATTAAACAGTACGTTTGGTGACTCTTCAGCTTCATTCGTATATCACAAGGATGTGTGTACCAGGTCACAACATATAACTTATGTTTTGCAGTGAGTTATGGTCAAAAATGTTTGAAAGACCTGATATGGGGGCCCACTATCCTTCTTGAGTTCCGAGGGATTCAGGGCTTCTGCCCAGGAGGGTTCCTGTGGGGAGGGGCAGAGCTGGGAAGAACCAGGTGGGTGCAGATGGTCTGCCCACCTCCAGCCTCCAGCTGAGACCCAGGGACCCAGAAGCCAAGGTCGGGCCACTCACTTGCCGAGGAAGCACTTGGGGACGGTGCTCAGCTTTCTCCGGCGGTCCTTGATCAGGTTCACCTTCTTGTTCATCATCATGTGGTAAAGCTTCTCCCCCTTCTCCGCAATCATGACATAGGCGTCCCGCTCCATGCCCAGCTTCAGGCCTACGGAGGAGGCATAGTCAGCACCAGGGACAGCGCCCACGCTGGGGAGTGGCCGGCAGGCCTGTGGCTCCTGAAAGCTACCCCCAGCTGCCACCCACTCCTGCCCCAGCCAGCAGCCATCTACAGAGCGCTCACTGCATTGTGGTCACTGTCCTGGGCTCCTTGAAAGAACCCAGTAGGGGAGGGTGACTAATCTCCCCCATTTTATAGATGGCAAATCCGAGGCCCAGAGAAATGAGCAGTCAAACTTATACAAGCCTTCAACCTGAAGATATCTTTTCAAATTCAGAGGTTATCAGACAGCCTATTGAGATCTTCCTTCCAGCCAGGAACAGAAATCTGCCCATTTCTCTAGAAATACAATACGCGAGGACCCTGACCCAGATCACTGCCCCCCATTTTCTTTCTACTTGGACCCCGTTCACTCCTAACAATAATAGGAATGACAAACAATCACAGGAAATGCTACAAACACCTACTAGATGCCACTTACTCCTCAGGAAACCAACAAGCAAGTACCATCATCCCTATTTCACAGATGAATAAACCGAGGCCAAGAGAAATTAAGTTCTCTGTACCAGTTACCCAATGAGAAGTGGTAGAAGCAGAATTTAGACCCAGGAAGTGGGGCTCCAGAGCTGTGCTCCTGACCACAGCATGTACCACTCCCCCCGTAAATGCAGCCCAGAGAGGTCAGTTTCAACAACACCCCAATTCTAACAACCAAAGCCCTCTTAGGCCACATCCCCCTCATTATCACAGATGCTCTCCACTGACCACAACCTTCGATTCTGACCACAAAGATCCTGATCTGCCACACCCAGGCCAGGCCCCGCCCCTGAACCCTGTCCCAGGCCTGACCACACACCCAGCCCTGATCAGTTTCAGATGTCACAACCAGGGATGCATTTTAATACATTTTGATGTACTATTTAAAATCAGGAAATACAACCTTAAAATCCAGATGTCTAGCTTCTCTAGAAAAAATAGAATAAAATCAATGGATTCAGTCTTGCTGGGCCCACATTCTTGAGAGGTGACAGTGACTTGTGCTCAGGTAGAGGTAGGGATGGAGAGAAGCGGGTGGATTTGGCCTACACGTGAAAGGCGGATTTAAAAGGACTTGCTCTACTGAATTTGGGGAACAGGCTGCAACCAGAGATGACACCAAATGTGTGAATCTGAGCCTGTGAGAGAATGGAGGAACCATCGCTGAGAGGGAAGTTGATGGGATGAGCAGGTTTGGGCAGAAGGTCTGACGGAAAGAAAGGGTTCTGACTGGACACGGGAGGTGTGAGGCGTCTGTGGCACATCTGGGAGGTCAGGAGGGACTTTATGATCCTGTGTCAAATTGCCAAGTAGGGCCGAATCCAAACCTCACTCAGCAGCACTGCACCCCACTGCAGCAAGAACTTTATGCCCATATATCAGATGACATCACTGAGGTCTGGGCAGCTGAAGTAACTGCCCCAAACACACCAAGCCTCGCTTTTCCAAGTCTGGGTGACTGCACAACAGTGCCCCCCCAACCTTACCCAACCATCACATCCAGTCCCGCACTTCCTATGGAAGCTGCTCAGAGGTGCCCGGGCCCAGAGAGATTCATGACCACAGCAATGGGCAGCCCCCAAGGCCCCTCCTCCTCAATGCAGACTCGGTGAATCTCTAACACAAAGAACCCCAGGTGAGAGTAGAACCGTGGAGGGGAAAAGGCATGTAGGGAGCATCCTGGTTACCAAACCTCAAGGGTGAAGGTGCCGAGAATCCCAGGATGACCAACCGCATCAACGTGTCTTTGGGCAAGTTCTTTCCATGGGGCCTCAGTTTCACCATCTACGTAGTGGGCTAAACTAGATGACCTCCGGCGATCTGCGATACCACCAAGCTATAACCCAGTCCCAGAGCTCTATGCCCCGTCCCTAGGCACAGCCCTCGCTCTGCAGCAGCGACCAGCCTGGGGGAAGCCATACACACCCCAGGGGTCCTGGGAAAGCCCCACCAAGGCCGCCACCCTCCGGGGACGAGGAGAGGGCCCAGCCGCTCACTCTCGCGCTGCTCCCGCTCCCGGATGATGGCGTCCAGCCACTTCTGCTTCTCCTCCGCCGTCTTGGCCATGCAGACAAACCACTTGTTCTTGGCCGTGTTGTGGATCTTCCAGCCGTTGGTGACAGTGTAGCCATTGCTGTGGTAATCCGCTGGCAAAGGCAGAGGCAACGGTGTGTCAGCTGACTTGGCCACCCAACTCTGAACATTCCCGACCACACGCTTGTGAGTGAGGTGACAGGACCAGCCCCTCTGGCTCCAGAAAGACGGGGCGCCGGGGGAAGGACAGGACCAGGATTGGAGAGTTGAACTTTCTGCCCTTCTAATGTTCACTCCCTCTCCTGGCTATTCTCTGGTGGACAGGAAGATCTGCGGACCAAAACCGCTCCTCGGCCCTTGATGAGAGGGGCGTCAAGACCTCGCAGTCCGGGCATAAATGCAGGACTGACTCTAGGGGAGACATCTGCCCGGAGCCCCGGAGTGCATCCCCGCCTCCCTGCCCATCTCACTCAGGTCCTTGGGCAGCTTGAAACCCTAGTGCCAGCCAGACAACACCAAGGCGTGGGCCCTCGCGCAGCCTGCTGGGTTGGCACTGGCAAATCTCTTTGAAAACAGGCTGACGTTATCCAGGGAAGTTGATTCAGGTACTGCCTGTACCCGGAACCGGAGGAGGGGGCCACAGGTTTCCTGAGATGGTCCAAGGGGTCTGTGGCTCAAAACCAATTAACAACCCCTGCCCTAGACGAGGTCAAGGACACATACCCTACGAGGCTAACCCAAGCCCTGGCCAGTTTGGCTCAGTGGTTGGAGCGTCGACCTGCGGTACAGAGAGACCCGGGTTCAGTTCCCGCTAAGGGCACGTACCTGGGTTGCAGTTTGTCCCTGGTCCTGGTTGGTCGTGTGGGTGGCAGCCACTCGATGTGTCCCTTCACATCGATGTTCCTCTCTCTCCCTCCCACTCTATCTGAACAAAATGGAAAAAATGTCCTCGGGTGAGGATAAAAAAAAAAGAGGCTAACCCAAGAACGCTCACAGCGCCACTGTTCATAATGGTCGACAGCGGAAACAACCCAAATGTCCATCACCAAAGGAATGGGTAAACCGTGGACTGGTCATGCGACAGAATAGTAAACAGCAGAGGAAACCAAAAGGTAGACAGAACCACGTGCAGAAACACAAATGGATCTCACCAACATGAGGTTGGGAGAACAAAGCAAGATGCAAAAGAATGTTTGGTGTTTTATGACCATACAGTGTACAGATGATGTACTGTGGAACCGTGCACCTGAAACGTATAATCCTGTTAACTGGATTAAAAAATCCAACAGGTCAAAACTAAAAAAAAAAAAAAAAATTAATAAATAAAAATAAATACATATTTAAAGCCATTAAATAGCTATATAATATCGTCACTTAAATAAGATTTTAAAACAGATACATTATTAAAATATTTGGTAATGCATACTCAGAGGTAAAAATATTTTTAAAAAGGAAGAAAATGACCGTCACAAAATTCGGAAGTGGTTACTTCTGAGAGGAAGGAGGTTACTTCTAGAGGAAGGGGTGCTGCTCGGGCGGGGTGTGGGAGGGGCTTCCCGGTGCAGGTAGGGTTTTACTCGTTAACTTGAACGGTGACTATCCAGGTATTCATCTTTTGTGCACAAGTTTTAGGCCTCTTTCTGTCGGTAGGTTCCGTTTCAAATAGAAGAAAGAAACGAACTGAAACAGAGGTGCCAGGGAGCAGGTGACTGGGCTCAGGCAGGGCTGGGGGGCAGGGCCTACCTGTCCCATCCTCCACGTTCTCCACCTCCATGACTTCAGTGTTGATGCGGCCCCTGAAGATGTAGAGGGAGCCGTTGATGGATTTGGTCCTTTTGGTGGATTTCTTGCCCCCGGTGACCCTGAAAGACAGTGGGAGGTCAGCACCCCCATGCCTTCCTCGGCTCACGTGTCTTCAGCAGAGCCGAGGAAGACGTGACAGGGAGAGGCGCCGGGGGGAGGGGCACTGTGCCGGGGTCGGGAGCACGGGCTCCTGGCTGGTGGCGGCGTGACTTCCCCAGTCCCGGCCAGTTTCCTCGTTTGGAAAATGTGCGAGTAGCTTTGCTGACCTCACAGAGCTACTTTTCAGCTAACAGGGGACAAGAAACTAACAAGAAGTAACAGAAACCCATTCTTTTGGCTAGAAAATGAGTAGAGGCTCCCCACGTGTCTAACGAACAGGTACTTCCTGAGACAAGACCAGAGCAGAAAAGAGCTCGGAGTAGGCAGCCCATCCATCCGTCATCTACATCCACTTCCCACGATTCACTCAATCACTCAGTTTGAACTCTGCAGCTCGCCCATTCGGTTGCTCAACAAACATCTGACCAGTTTGGGAGAATACCAAGCTGGAACCCAGGGCAGTCCCTCGCTCATGCATTCGGCAAGCTCTAAGGGAACACCAGGCACACTCTTTACATGCTGGGGCTTCAGCTGAGAACCAAACCTGTCTCTGAGGACTCATCTCCCAATACAGGGAGCGGGCACAGAGACAGACTAGAAGAAGCCACACCCTCATTATGTCAGAAGCGCTAAATGCTACAGTTAAAATAAAGCAGAGAATGAGCCCTCTGAGCTCGAAGGCCACTCTGTGTTCTGCTCCATCAGGTGCGTGATGTTCACCAAGAATGAGCTGTGTTTGTTTCCCAGCCTATCTGCCTGACGCGCACCTGTCACTGCAACCGAGTAAAGCAAATACGATACAAGCTGAGGACGTATGCATGGAAAGACAGTCATCTCTCTGAAAATTAAGTTGAGTGTTTCAGAAAGACTGGATAAAGGTAAGTTGCTTTTGGGTGAAGAATGAACTTAACCTCTAAGAAGAAAGAGGCTTAGCTGTATACAAAAAAAAAAGTTTAGCCCTGGCCGGTTTGGCTCAGCGGTTAGAGCGTCGGCCTGCGGTCCCGAGAGACCCGGGTTCAGTTCCCGCTAAGGGCACGTACCTCGGTTGCAGTTTGTCCCCGGCCCTGGTTGGTCGTGCAGGTGGCAGCCACTCGATGTGTCCCTTTCACATCGATGTTTCTCTCTCTCTTCCTCTCTCCCCCTCCCACTCTACCTGAACAAAAATAGAAAAATGTCCTCAGGTGAGGATTAAAAAAAAAAAAAAAAAAAGTTTAATAAATGTGTGTATAGCCCTGGCTGGTTTGGCTCAATAGTTAAGAGCGTCGGCCTGCGGACCAAAGAGTCATGGGTTCAATTCCGGCCAAGGGCACATACCTCGGTTGTGGTTCATGCCTGGTGCTCATCAGGGTCATGCGGGAGGCAACCAATTGATCTCTCACATTGATGCTCCTCTCTCTCTCTCTCCCTTCCTCTCTCTCTAAAAAAAAAAATCAATATAAATATATTTTTTTAAAAGTATAATATCCATACAGAAAAAATTGCCCACAGAAATATGGCTCAATTAACTTTTACAAAGTGAACACACCTGTATAACTATTTTAGCACCCCCTAAAACTCCCCATCGTGCCCTCCTCCGGTCACTAGCCCCCCTTCCTGGCCTCACAATGGTAACCCCCATCGTGAAGTGTAAACCTGCGGATTCACCTTGCCTGTTCTGAACTCCACATACATGGGGTCACAAAGGTAATGGTGATGGACATCTGGGTTGTCCAGTCTGGTGCTGCTGGGAATGTTCTCGTGTGTGTCTTATGAAGAAAATGTGCGCCCATCTCTGGGTCATCTACCTAGAAGCTGACCTGCACGTGGTTGGCTTTACTAGACAGATCCAGGCTGTTTTCCAAAACAGCCCTACCAATTCTCCCACCCCTAGTAGAGTAGGCACATTCCAGTTGCTCCACATCCTCCGCAACTGACATTTAATTTCCGTTTTGGCCATTCTGTTGGACATATAGTAGTGTCTCATTAAGCATTTCACTTGTTGCCCTGGCTGGTTTGGCTCAGCAAATGGAGCGTCAGCCTGCGGACCAAAGAACCACAGGTTCGATTCCAGTCAAGGGCATGTACCTCTGTTGTAGTTTGGTCCCTGGCCCTGGTCAGGGTCATGCGGGAGGCAACAAATCGATGTGTCTCTATCACATCAATGTTTTTCTTTCTCTCTCTCTCTCCTCCCTCCCTCCCTATCTGAAGATAAATGGAAAAATAAAAATGTCCTCAGGTGAGGATTAAAAAAAAAATTTCACTTGTAATCCCCTGATAAGTAATGAAGCCAACACCTTTTCATGTTTATTGACCACATGGTATCTTCTTTGGTGAAATGACTGTCCCTTCACCATTTTTCTGTCACACTGTCTGTCTTTTTCTTCCTTTTTTTTTTTTTAATTCTCACCTGAGGACATTTTTCCTTTTGCTCAGATAGCGTGGGAGGGAGAGAGAGGAAGAGAGAGAGAAAGATAAACATCGACGTGAAAGGGACACATCGAGTGGCTGCCACCCGCACGACCAACCAGGGCCGGGGACAAACCGCAACCAAGGTATGTGCCCTTAACAGGAACCGAACCCGGGTCTCTCTGGACCGCAAGCCAACGCTCTAACCACTGAGCCAAAACGGCCAGGGCTGTTTGTCTTTTTCTTAATGATTTACAGCAGGAGTCAGCAATTTTTTTCTGAAGAGGGCCAGACAGTAAACATTTTTGGTTTTGCAGGCATTAATTTGGCTTGTAGGACTTCTTCGTATATAGTCTGCCTATGAGTCCTTCCTCAGTTATAAGGTTTATAAAGACCTCCTAGTCTGTAGCTTAGCTTTTTATTTTCCTCATGGTGTCTTTAGATGAACAGATCTTCATATTAATGCATTCTGATGACTCTATTTTCCTTCATAACTATATTTTTTTGTCCAATTTAAGAAATGTTTGCTTCTTTCCTCCTATGCCTTCCTCCAGAAGCTTTGTTTTACTTTGCGCATTTAAATCTATGATCCATCTGAAGATTTTTGTCTATTTCATAAGGTGAAGGTCAGGCTCATTTCCCCCCATTGGATATCAAACTGACTCAGCACCATGTACTGAACTGCATTGGCACTTTTGTGGAAATTCAAATGATCGATTATATGTGGGTCTACGTCTGGACTCGCTATTCAATTCCATTCATCGATTTGCCTCTTTTTAAAAACACCAAAACCATATCTTTTTTTTTTTTTTTTATTTTAATCCTCACCCAAGGATATGTTTTTTGATTTTTTAGAGAGGAAGGGAAGGAGGGAAAGAGAGAAAAACATCAATCGGTTGCCTCCTGCATGCACCCCAACCAATGATCAAACCCACATCCTATGTGCCCTGACTGGGAATCGAACCCACCACCTTCTGGTTTATAGGATGATGCTCCCACCAACTGAGCAACCAAGCCAGGGCCCAAGACCGCATCTTAATTGCTGCAGCTTTATAGGAAGGCTGGTATCAGTAATACAAGTCCTCTAGCTTTGGTCCCTCTCCAAAATTGTCCATTTTTGTGTTCCCATGTAAATTTTACAATCATGTACACGTACATACGCACAACCTCCCTCCTGGAATTTTTGTGGGAATTACACCAAGGTTCTGGCCAAAGTATGAGGACAGATGGAAAAGGACCTGCTGATGAAGTGCGTGTGGGGATGACGTGGGTCCGAATCAAGGGGCAGCTGGGCAAGTGGTGGTGCCACGGCCTGAGGAGGAGGAAAGTCTCGGAGGAAAAGGCTCGGAGCAGGAGTCGTGACGAAGATAAAGCATCTTGCTCGAAAAACGGTTTAACGTGACTGTGAGCTGTGTGACGCACGCAAATGAAGGTAAAGATTGCTCTTCCTTCTCCTTTACAGACATGCACCAGGCCTTCTCTAACCACTTTACATGTTTCATCTTCCTTTATCTACAAAAACTACCCTCTGAGGCTTGCGTCCCCATTTCATAGCTAGGAAAACAGAGGCACAAAGAGCTGACACTGCAAGGTAATGGCCTTAACCACTGCCTGCTGCTGCCTCCTCCAAGATGCCGAGCAGCAGCCAGTTGATACGTCTGAGACTCAGCTCTCCCGACTCTGTTTCCCCTCCTGAAGAACAGGGAGGCAGGCTTTGAAAACACTCCCTTCCACTCTGACATCCAAGGAGCCTCTCCTCTTGAATTAGACCAGAAACACTGAGTCAGAGACCTCCCCTGACCCATGTCCCAGACGGGTGGTGCCCTGAGTGACCCAGGAGAAGACAAAACAGTCGGCAGACACCTAGCTGTGTCAGGCATTTCCTGTGACCACATGACAGCCGGGCCAGTTGTTCCATCCACCACTGCCCAATCCCTCCGGGAGCTCTGAGCCCAGTCCTCTGGCTCGTGATCCAGAGGCAGGAACAGTGGCCACCTGCCAGGTTCTCTCAGGAGACAGATGTGCCCTCTCCCTCCACCCGCCCGGCTCGCTTGCAGAACTGGCTGAATGGCCTTCAGAGAGCTCACGGCAGCCCCAGGGCAGCCAGAGAAGGCCCACGTGGAATCCAGTGAGCTCAGAACCAGCTGCTCTGCTCTGACAGGTACAGCCACGCCGTGAAGCATGGCCTGCACCGGGGCAGACACAGCTGACGCGAGCAAACTCAGCCACAGCTGGGAGCAGGTCAGAGGACTGAAGAAACAGTTTTCTACACTCCAGTGTTCTGGGACAGGTGTCTGCTGCAGACAGCCCGGGTCGGGGGGCGGGGGGCGGGGAGGGGAGGGGTGGGTGCTGCAGTGGCCTTGGCACCGCCAAAGGGCTCTCGGGAAGGCCTCAGGGAGAACAGGCAGGGAGGAAGGAGAGGAGGACACTGATGGGGGGACAGGAGGACATGAGACAGACACAGACACACCTACTAGAGTGGGCAGGCATAAACTGTCAAATGAGGAGACATGCTGACCCAGCCCCTGCCAGATGGTGAGAGAGGGAGACGAAGCCCTCTAGCGAGAAGGACCCAGCCCAGAACAGGGAGGAAAGGGCAGAGGGGAAGGGGCCTGTGGTTGATGCACCTACCATGTGCCAGGTGCTGCACCTGTGGGATGGCACTGACCAGGAACCCAACACGTGCAGAGGGAAGAGAACAGTAGCAGCGAGAGCAGCTGTCCCTTATTTTGTGCCCTTTCTATGTGCCAGGCACACTTAGCACATTCATCCTTCACGATGACTCTGGGGTGCATAGGACAGTTCACCCTATTTTACAGATGAGGCAACTGAGGCAAAGAGAGGCAAAGTCACAGACCTAGAGAAACCGCTGAACAGGGTTTCAATCAGAAGGAGCTGGGCTCTTACCCAAACGCTACTGTAAGAAGAGATCTATCATCCCCATTGTACAGAAGAGAAAAGTGAGGCTCAGAGAGGTCCAGCTGGAAGAGGAAGACAATGAGAAGCCCACACGTGCACGGAACACCCATTGTTCACCCTGCGGAAAGTTCCTCCCCACAACCTTAGGAGGCCGGCAGAAACAGCCAAGGAAATGAGGCTCCGACAGTAAGTGACAAGCCCAGACCAAAAGGAAGTTGGAGGTAATGCTGACAGCAGGGCCCAGAGTCTGCACCTCCCCTCAGCCTTAGCTTTCGCTAGCTAAAGGAGTCAAGTCTCTAGAAAGTCACTGTTTCATCCCTAAAACAAAGTGAACAGGAAGCAGAATTCAGAAAGGGCTGCATTGGCCAGTTGAGATGGCCCTCTACCTGCTGAGCAAAAAAACTAAACGGCAAGAATCTCTCAGCCTACCATCTATCCACCTACCCATCCCACCTACGCATGCCCCATCCCTCTGTGTCCTAATTTTCCCTCTCTCCAGTCATCCATCCATCTGTCCACTCAGTCATCCAATCATCCGACCCTCCATACCAGAGTTCACCCCGGCAAGTACTATCCATCCACCAACACACCCATCTAACTGAGCATCGATATCCACTAACCTCCGAACCACCAGCACCGACCCACCCTCCAATTCATTCGTAACAAACCATATACTGAAGCCCCAACTCACCATTCATCCCAACACACCTCTGCCAGCTCACCGTGTTTTCATATCCGTTTCTCCAGCCACACAAACAGCCATACATTCCCCCAACTTTCCATCCGTCCCTCTGTCCCACCATCTCCTGCACCTCCAACCACTCACTCACTCACCTATTCATTCATCTATTCATAAATCAGGTCAGACATCCATCCAATCTCTCCCTCTCTGCCTCCCTTTATCCGCCATCCACTCTTCTTTCAAACCTCCAACCACCCATCTGTGCCCCCACCTCTGCCCACACCGCCCATCATGCACACCTGCGCCCACCACTCATCTCCCCGTCCGCTCACTCCCAGACTCTACAAAGTGCAAGAGGCTCCAGCGAAAGATGCAAAGATGACAATGACACTGTCCCTTCCCTCGTACAGCCTAACAGAAGAGCCTCCTCCCCTCAGACCCTTCACCTTGGATCTTAGAATCCCAGAATGTTGGTGTCACAAAAAACTTTCAAACGTCCATGATGGTCTCATCCCGCACTCACGTGTGGGACTGAACACTGAAAACATGGCTAGTCCAAACTGAGCTGCGTGGTAAGTGCAACATACGAGTGGGCCAAACGTAGGTTTACAGTTGTTTGAATGGAAAAGAACACAATAATTTATAACTAATACAAGAGTGAACTCTGTGTTTCGCATACTCGCGACTGTAAACCTACTTTTGCCCCACCCTGTACATACCACGCTTTGAAGATTTAGTGTACATTTTTTAAAAGAATGCAAAATATCTCTTGAATAATTTAATAAAATATTACATTAAAATGATAATATTTGGGGACATAATAGAATAAATAAAATATAATATTTAAATTCATTTTACTGGTTTCCTTTCACTTAATGTGGCCATTTTAAATGACCACATTAATTTTTTTTCTTTTTATTGATTTGAGAGAGAGAAGAAGGGAGAGGGAGAGAAATAGAAACATCAATAAGAGAGAACATCAACTGGCCGCCTCCTGCACGCCCCCCACTGGGGATCGGGCCCACAACCTGGGCATGTGCCCTGACCGGGAACCGGCGACCTCTTGGTGCAGGGGTCAACGCTCAACCACTGAGCCACACCGGCCGGGCAAGGAACCACATTAAATTTTAAATAATTTATGTAGCTCATGTTACATCTCTATTGGACAGTGTTAACCTACAACGAACCCCACAACCAGAAGAGAAAAGGGAGACCCAGAGAGGAATGTCGTCACCATGAGAAGCTGCAGGATTCGAACCAGTCCCGGCTGCCTGGCCCACGGGGCACCCTGCCCCCAGCAGCTCACCTGGATTTCCGCTTGCAGTAGACGAGGAGGTTGTCAAAGAGGAAGAAGGCCCTCTCCTGGATGTTGCCTGCGGAGATTTTTAACAAAGTCCCTTGCAGGAGGAGCTGGGTGCAGATGTCCGTGAGGTTGGAGCCCTGGGAGAGGGGCAGGGGGCACAGTGAATGCGATGGCAAGTCCAGAACACTTGGGGATATCCCGTTCCCTCCCCGAGACAGAACCTACCACCGCCTCCCTCACAGCGCAAACTCAGAACACACCGCAAGCCTGTCGGCAGGCAGAAAACCAGGCAACCTGACCAGTGGCTTCCACTGAGCGAGCCAGAGCAAGGCTGGGGAGAGCGTATGCAGGGGACCGTTTCAGAGTGGCACTCGGGGCTCAGAGATGAAAGGACTCACGCAGTCAGACAGCCCTGGTCAGCATCTAGTTTTGTTTTGGGGGGTTTTTTGACCTATGAATTCCTCCTTATTTAATTACGTCTTGACTTGTTATTCCATCTCCCCCACTTCCATAAAAAAACAGGAGGCATTAGCAAACATTTGTCAAGCATTTGCCACTGTATTCCCAGCACCTCCCACTGTCGGCACACAGTAGGTACTCAAATGCTGCAGAACAGGTGACAGACGCAATGTGAACACCGTCGAGGCAGGATTCTGAGAGCACTCCTAGCTACAGATATGAGTCTGATGGGAACGGCTCCCAAGCTCCGCCTGATGGCCTACGCTAAGTGACAGGCGTGGGGTGGCTACGCCGTTAAGCGTGCATGAAGTTCACTGAAATTCTGTGCGGGTCAGGGCAATGCAGTCAGGAGAGGCATCAGGGACAAGTGAGGCGGCCTGGGAGGAGGGCTGGAAAAGAGAGGCTGAGGGTGAGGATGGGGGAAGGTCCCTACAGGGAAGAGTCCTCAGAGCCAGGGATCACACAGGTCCGTCTGGGGCTCTGGAGGGGACCAAGGTGGCAGAGAGATCCCAAAGTACAAACAGAGACGCTAGAAACAGACCCAGGAGGGCTCAGAATGCCAGCTCAGGCAGCCCCTGACTGTCCCCCAAATCCTTGCTCCTCTTCTGTCCCAGGAATGGAGTTTCAGTGGGCACCTGGCTGCCCAAACACAGACTCCATTTCCCAGCATCCCTTGCGCCAGGCGTGGTCTTGTGACTAAATTATGGCCCGCGTGCCTCACTTCCACATCATTTCCTTGAAGGAAAATTCTTCCCCCTGTTCTTCCTCCCCCCTTCCTTCTTGCCACCGGCTGGAAGCGGATGGTGGAAGGAGCCTGGGTCCCCATGGAGCAGAGCTGCCCCACCCCCAGCCTGCACTGCTGCTGAGAAACAAACCTTTATCTCGCTGACGCCCCTGTCTATCTTTCTTACAGCGGCTCATCATGCACTTTCACTAACACACCGAGACAAGGACACAGGCACCACTGACAGCTGCGCCGAAGGTGCTCCTGACACCGAACCCCAGGATTGGTACATAACAGCAGTGTCTGATGGGAGATTCATTCGACAGAACTGCTGGTTGCAATGAAGAGAGAAACAAAGAGACATGATGCTGTCTGGACATGAACTTGGGGACGGAAGAGGGAGAAATGTTCACAGAACCTCCTTCCTCAAACACTCAGCACCCAGAACAACAAGGCGTTCAGGCCCCAGTGAGATCCACTGACTCGATTATTTCTGAGACCCAATAAGGGGAACTGGTTTAGACAACGCAGAAATCAAGCTGTTGGGTGACTGCCCACTGTGGTCTCCCCTGCTGCTGTTAGAGCTGGTGTGCTCTGTGCCGTGGCCCAGCCGGGAACAGAAAATCCATTCACCCCACAATGCCAGAGACACCTCTGGGGCCCACTCGGGGTTCTGGGAAACCAGTTTCTTTGTGGTCACGAGCTGTGCTGCCCAGGACAGGAGCACACAACCACCAGCAGAAATCACACCCTGGCTGCTGACATGCCGCCCACAGTACCCCAGGTTGAAGTGAGCCTGCTGCAGACCTCGAGATCCTTGCAAACAGGGTGAGTGTGACTCCCTGGGTCATGAGGCTCCATCAGTGGCCCCTGGGCCAGCGCCAAGCACACAGAAGTGCGGCAGCTTCTCAAGAGACCGGGTACTTCCCTGTCTCCTCCCCTCGCCCCGCTCGTGCTGACCCACCAGCCCCTCAGGATCCACAGGGGGATTTTAGTTGCCTGCATGTGAATCTGGTACCTGGCCCACCTTGCAGGCCCCAGAACCCCAAGGTCACACAGGCCTAGACCTAACCCTCTGTCAGTGTCGGGGAACCACAGAGACGCTGCCTCTCCAGCCCTGGCTGGTGACCACCCCGCACACTGCATCTGCACAATGCCAAGGGTGCTACAAGGGTGCTCCCCAGAACCCTTGAACCCAGGTCGGGGTGGTGCTATGGATCAGATACACAGGGAAGAGGCCAAGCACCAAGGTGTCCACCAGGCAGGACTGCAGACCGCCCGCGGACAGCGCAGACTCGACCGAACTGAAGTAGGCGCATGTCAGGAAGATGACGAAAGCTAATGCAGGCACAGGGCTCACCACACACCAGCTGCTGTTCTAAGTGTCTTACACACACTCAGTTCATCCGTATGGCAACTCAGGCAAGTGAGGAAACGGAGGCACCGAGCAGTGCAGGGACTTGTTCAAGGTCACACAGCTAGTAAGTGCGCAAGCTGGGATCCAAACCAGGTAGGTGGTTCCACGGTCCTGCCCACTGACATCTGCTACCCTGGGCCGCCTCTAGAAGGCAACCTGAAAGGTTTTTGCGTGCCATCGTCGGTCAAGAGCAGGAGTCTCCGAAGGGGAGAGACCACATGTCCCCGGGAGCACAAGGCAGCCAGGGCAGGGTGGGCAGCACCTATGAGAACTTTTATTTATGGTGGTTTTTCTATGACTGTTTCCTCACTCCTGCTTCCTCTGTCCCCTCGTGGGTGAGTGAGCAGTCGATGGGCTCCTAAACCAGGGCTGCCAGAGCCAGCAAGAGGAGTGTGCCCTATTTCTTTCTCCTACATCTCTTTTTATAACTGTGAGCGTCACCCGACGGTCCATGGGGCCTGCGTCCTGGGTGTCCCGCCGCAGGAGGGGCAGCCCGTGCTGACTGAGCTCTAGCCAAAGTTGCATGATGCCTGTCCATCGAAAAAAATGAAGAAAGAAATCCCGCTTTGCCGCCGTGGCTCCTCCTGACGTTTACCGCGCGTTTGCTCTGAGCCAAGAAAGACAGCGCTGTTCTGAGCGCTTTGCCTGCCTCCACTCCCTGGATCCCCAAGAACTCCTAAGGGGTTCTGCCATTATCCAGACTTCTCAGAGGAGGAAACTGAGGCAAAGGAGTCCCTCCACACAGAGGGGGCTGGCTCGTCCACGCACTTCCATGCTATTGCAACATACTGCCATTTCCTTGTGCTTAGTCGAATGGATTTATGGATTAACTTATCTGGTTTTAACTAAACCTGTCTCACAACTAGAAAGGACAAATGGCTTCCACAGGATCAGGTCCCAGAAAACCACAGATCAGATGTCAAACTCCTGATGCAGACCCAAGCACACAGCAAGACAGTGGCCCAGAAAAGACACCCCCTCCTCCCAAAGCAAGTCCTTTGCCAGCCATGTTCCAAGAGAGGCAAAGCCCTCTAATCAGATTGACAAGAGGTCAAACAAAAAGATCAGGAATGATCAGAACGGGCATCAGAAACAAGGATCGGCAGCCGCTGTCGCTCACTGCAGACGGGGCCCTAACTCACACTGCCCCCAGAGATGGCACTACTGGTGGCAAGAAGCCAAGGCAAGTAGCTTCACTGTTCGTCATTATTTTTTTCTAGCTAAAACATTTTATTTTCACAAGTCACCTTGAGGATGAAACTGTATTTAAAATCCCTTCTACTGCACAGAAAACCCCTTCATAGTTTTCCAAAGAACATTCACTTTTCACACTTCGCTTTACCTTCAAAAATGACACCAGAAGGTAACTTCAGAGATATTATTACTAAAATTAGACAACGAGGGGGAAATAAAACCAAGAGAGCAAGACAACCTAGCCTGACACGGGGTAGTCTGTAAGTTATAGTGCTGAGCTTCAAAACCAAGTCCCTGTGCCTCAGTTTCCTTATCTGTAAAATGGGAATAATAACAACACCTCCCTCCTAGTGTTGGATGTGGAACAGCTACTCAATAATTGCCAGCAATTCGTATTCGGGGTCACTTCATTTCCTCCTGTAGTGATCAAAATAAAGGCCATTCTCGAATTGTAGATTTTTCTGGGACAAAAGGTACCCCAAGAAGTTTAGTTCCTATTTCCCTGGGCCCTTACCAGAAAGAGGCAGCTGGAAATCACTTCTGCTCTGGCTGCCAAGTTGCTTGCTCAATACCCTCTCCGCAGGGGCCCACGTGAGAAATGTCTTTTCCAGCTGGTTTCCAGGAAACTCTCTCTCTCCCAGAAGAACTGTTTTACTTCTTCCTTTTTGACGATAAATGTTAAGGAACTTATGTGTCCTGTTCTTTTCACCTTGTCTTCCAGGACGCTCAAAGTCCAAAGAGACAGATGCTTAAATGGGTCAACAGTACTCGCTCTTTACGTTAGCACATTTGCTGAAAGTGGCCATGTGACCACTTCTGGCCAATGAGACGAGGAAGTGTCTCTGGGGCTTCTGGGAAAGGTCCTCCTCTGTTGGGGAGAAGAGCTGCCTTCCACTGCCCTGGCTATGCCCTTGTCTCCCCCTGCTCCGGACATACGATGCCGAGAGCTGCTGCCGTCCTGCAGCCACGAGAGGAAGGCCAACAGGACCACAAGAGGCCAAATCAGAGTTCTGACATCATGAGGCTGAATCAAGAGTCCTTAGAGAACACATCCTAACAGACACACCTGATGACCAGCGATGTTCGGTTGTGGGAAACAGAAACCAAGCTATATGTTGTAATTAAGCTTAGAGAAAACAGAAGAGGCAGAAATCCAGGCCGGAGCTCCCAGCAAACCAAGAACACTGCAGAGCTGCCCCTGCAGAGAGCCACTGCCTCTGCGCCATTGGGGAAAGGGAGAATCAGAAGAGCACCTGCCTGAGCTGATACTCCAGGACAACGCCAGCCAACCTGGCTGCATCCAGGCCCTCAGGAGCTGTTGCCTCAACTGTCGGCTGCGAAGCCATCCTGTCCTGCTAGATACACAGCACCGCCAACAAAAAGAACGGCCCGAGCCCTGCCTCCTGACACCCGGGAAGCTGGAGTCTGGCCCCCTGCAAATGCTACTACAGAAAGCCAACATGACCCGGGCTGTGCTTTGCTGCAAAACAGCACGAGGGTGGCCTCCACCCAGCTGCGCCTTCCAAATGTCAAGCAGCTGGGTCTGATCCTGGCCAGTGATATCCCAACCCCGAGCCACAAGGGGGTCGGAGAAAGGCAGTTCTTCGTTCTCCAGTCTCGGCCCGGCAGGAAGGCCCCGGGGAAGGGGGGAGGGGGCATGGCAAGCACTAATCCACAATCCCCACCTCTTTCCTGAACACCGGCCCCTCTCCTCTCTGCAGCCAAACCCTCAGCCTCCTAGCGATACAGCCACATTTCAGATTTCCCCACACAGGGAAAAGTGGAAATCCCAAACACAGCACATGCCAGAAAACCCAAAGGCAGATGATTCAGAGGACAATCTGTGTCCAGAGAGTCTTTGATCTTTGCTCATAATCTCCCATTCCAGCTGTATTTACTCTGATATTGATTTTTTATTTATTCAGATTTTCCCATTTCCTTCTACGGATATGTAGGAAATCTCTAATAATCTAAGGAAGATGGGGAGGTTTAAACAAATAAACTACACACAATCAGAAGCTCTCAAGAATCCCATCCCCTAAGAATCATGATGACAGTAATATCAAGATCTACCATGTACTGAGCACCTACTATGTTCAGAGAAGTTAAGACACTGACCTAAAGTCACTCAGCAAGGAAGTGTCAGCATCAGATTCCTGTCCTGGAGTAGACCCTTGACCTTGGTATCAAAAAATCAAAGGCCATGCCCTGGCCGGTTTGGCTCAGCGGTTAGAGCGTCCGGAGAGACCCGGGTTCAATTCCCACTAAGGGCATGTACCTCGGTTGCGGTTTTTCCCCAGCCCTGGTTGTGTCATGCGGGTGGCAGCCACTCGATGTGTCCCTTTCACGTCGATGTTTCTCTCTCTCTCTCTCTCTCTCTTTCTCTCTCTCTCTCCCTCCCTCCCCCCCTCCCTCCCACTCTATCTGAACAAAAAATGGAAAAATGTCCTCGGGTGAGGATGAAAAAAAAAAAATCAAAGGCCTAAGGGCACCAGGCAGATAAGGCAACACGTGAAAGAGGATGGGGAGAGATGGAGAACGGTGGAGACTGAGGAAAACCGGAGGCGCTGGTGACTATCACCGTGGAAAATAGGGGGCCCATGTTACTGATTTTCCAAAGGAAACTTGAAGTATAAATTTGTATGTGGACTTAATTGAAAAATAATTAAACAATTTTTTTACAAACACCTTGTAGGCCAAAGTATGCTACAGGTTGAATCTGGTGCCCAGACCAAAGTCTGCTCCTGTGCCCTGTGCCCCTCCCCAACCCAGAGGGCCCCTCCTGCCCCAGGCTCACCTCCCAGCCTTCGATGTGGGACTGCAGCTGCTCCAGGGCCTCCAGCTTCTCCATCTGCCGCTTGGTCTCATTGATATTGGAGCACACGGTTTTCATGGCCTGCAGGGCGCTCTGGACTGCGGGGTGGTCCGGGTGCTTCCCGGGGGTCCTCTTGGCTAATTCCTAGGGAAGAAGTGAGAGCAAGAATAAGAGACATCAACCCAGAGGGCACCAAACATGGCCTCCAGGTCGCCCAGCCTGGGCCAAATCCCAGCTCTGCTATGTGAAAACTGTGTGATCTGGGGCTGGAAAACATCATCCATTCATTCATTCTCTCATTCATTCATTCATTCATTCATTCATCCATCCAATAAATGTCCCTTGAGCACCCCCTCCACAGCAAGCAGTGTTCTAGGGTCTGGAGATAAATTTGTTAATAAAGCAAGACAAAAATTCCTCACCGGGTGGATATTATGTTCTATAAAGGAGATCAGCCAAAATAAAGAAAAATCAAGTATATAATTCAATGTCCGGCCGTGATAAATACTATGAAGACGAAGCAGAACCAGGAGACTAGAGGGTCTCAGGAAAGGAGCTGTTCTTAAACAGGGAGGTCAAGAAGACCCTCTGAGGAGGGGCCATCTGGACTGAGGCTCTGGCAGAAGCGAGGGAGAGAGTCCCGCAGAAATCTGTGGGGAAAGTGTGCTGGGAGAGAGAACAGCAAATGCGAAGGGTCTGAGGTGGGAGCATATGTGGAAGGAAACAAGGAACAGTGAGGAGGTAGTGTGGTGGGAGTGGAATGAATGAGAGGGAAAGAGAGAAAGAAACAGCACAGAGCCAGGACAGAGAGATCCGTGGGTCAGGGAGGGAGTCACTGATACTGCCCCTGCTCATCAGCCATTTTCCCATCTGTAAAATGGGTAGAAAAAATATCTTGCCTTGGGGTGCTGGGTGAGAAAGGTGAAAAGATTAAGAAATACAAATTGGCCATTACAAAACGGTCAGAGGGATGCAAAATCCAGCATAGAGAATGTAGTCAATAACACTGTAATAACTATGCATGGTGTCAGGTGGGTGCTAGACATATCAGGGGGATCCCTTCATAAGTTATATAAATGTCTACCCACCGTACTGTACACCTGAAACTAATATAAAATAACATGACATGTCAACTGTAGATGAAAATAAAACACCTTGCCTTCCCAGGGACATGGCAGGGGGTGTAAAGAGGTTGGTTGGGGCAGACCTCTGACCCACGAACCTCCCCCCATCGCAAGCACAGGCAGGGATATTCCAAAGGTCAGGCCAGTCTTAATCAAAGGGTTTCAGCCATCTACTAAGTGTGATGAGGGAGGAACTGAGGAGGAAGACATTAGCCAGACCTGAAGATATCAGGGAAGATTTTCAGGCTGAATCACTCCAGCAACCGTGCCAGCAAACATACATTTCTATAGTCACGGGACCTAGACAAGACACTCCCCCAAATTAGGCTCTTCGAACACAAAACGCCTGAGCAGGGCAGACCTTGGGGAATCCCTAGAAAAACTGAGGACAGAGAAGAAAAGGGAGTGTGCCTGGGGCCACCCCGCAAACAGTAGTGGAAGCCCCTCCAGAGCCAGGCTAGTGACCCCTCCCCGACATCCGCCCCGCGAGCCCTGTGGTTTCACAAGCAGGCCTGAGGTGAGGCCTTCCTGGAAGAGAGGATACCAGAGTACAAGAACCCAGAGTTCTGAAAGGTCCCTCGTCGCTCTCGCTCCCCTCCAACCAAGCTTTTTACCAAAAGGGAACCACGGGTGCAGACTGTGGGCGGCCCCGTCACACCTCAGAGGTGTGAGCCGTGTCCACAGCAAGGCCACAAGAGGCAGCCTGGGACACAGGCCCTCGAACTCGGGGGTTAGCCATAAGAAGACAGATCCACTAAATCACGGTGTAAAATCAAAGCAGGGTTTGTCACTGGGAGAAGTGACAATATCCATCATTTGCTGTGACTCGGAGGGTGGGGGAGGCCCAAATGGAGACAAGGCAGTTGGAAAGCCATGCTGTCCCCTCCACAAAGAGAAAAGGGCAGCCCATGAGAGTGGAGGGTGTCACCAATGAGGGCAGGATCAACAGAGGACACCCACTTACTGAGGACGCTTGGGCCAGCTCCAGGCTCTGCCCAGAGACCTCTGCCAGGTGCCACCATCCAAGCCCAGGAGGCCAAGCTGTTATCTCTATGTAGCATCTTCCTGCACTGGCAGTTCTGGGTCCCCTCATGCCATATCTAGGGTGACAGCACGATCCAAGTGAAGAGGCCCTGAGAAGACCCACCACCATTAAAGAAAAGAAGAAGCGAGAAACATCTGGAAGTCCAAGAAAACCCAGAAGTGAAAAGCTGTCCAGCACAGCAAAGGAAACCTCCAAGCCTGCAAACTCCATGGAAATTTCATGCAAATATATTTCCAGTTTTAACAGTTTCAGCCCCTGCTGCAAGGCTGGGAGAACTGTAGCCCCACAGCTTAGGAACTAATGGAGGAAAAGAAGTAATTCATGGGTCTTAAAAGCTCCATCCTTCCCCCGGGAGAGGTAAGGGGAAGTGTGGGACGAGAGCTCAGGACTGGGAATTCATGTCCTGGCTTTAACCAGGACATACTATGTGACCTCAGGCAAGTCGTCCCCCCTTTCTGAGCCTAGAGCTCCTGGCTACGCAATGCAAGGACTAGATCAGAGCCCAGGTCACAAACCAGGTCCCATAGGCCAAATGCCATTGCCCGCCTCTCAGCAAAGGAGAAGCTCTGGCCCCCCGGGCCGGTGTTTCTACCTAACAATAACAGTTGGCCTGAACGACAGCCACCCCCTTAGATGGGACATGTGCTCTACAGTGTGCCACAGTACCCCCCACTGAGTTTCATCTAATCTACTCATTTCTTGTACATGCCCTGAAGGTGCTTGTGTTTGACATCCTGGATTGATAGATGTCCACTAACACTAAGTGGTAGGGTGTCAATGGCTCTACATCCAATTTCCAAAGGAGGCCAAGCACAGCTCACTACAAAAGTCTACACCCTGCACTCCTAATTTCAGGCTCTACAGAGGCATTTCTCAAGAAGAGAGAGTAGAATTGTGAGAAATGATGGTGGTGGTGGTGGTGGTGGTGGTAGCTATAAATTTCAATGTAGTAGAAGCAAAATAAAAAGGAATAAAAAGAAAAAGAGTTACTAAACCAAAACACACACACACACACAGAAACTATGCAAAATAAAGTAAGAAAGGGAGGGGAAATAAAAATAAAAAAGAAAGATGATAGAAATAAGTTCAAATGTATCAATAAATACAATAAATACAAGCGCACTAAACCCTCTAGTTAGAAGATAGAAATTGAAAGATCAGATTTTAAAATTCTAACTTTATGCAGTTTACAAAAGAAGGACCTAAACCCTAAGGATAGAGAATGGTTGGCGATGAAACAAGATATATCATGAAAATACTAATCAAAAGAAACCCACTAAAGTTCTATGAATGTTGGGCAAAATAGACTTTGAGACACTAAAAATAGCCAACACTTACTAAGCACTTTACAGGTATTATTTCATTTAATTTTTCACAATAACCCACTACCAAGGCACTGTCTGACAGAGGAAGAAACTGAGGGACAGAGGGTTTAAGTCACTTCTCAAAATGGCAACACTAATAAGTTCAGGAGCTGGAATGAATAAAAATAAAAATCACTACAATTTTAGAGTAGCTAACATTGACCAAGCATTACTATCTACCTAGTAATATGCAGAGTATTCTCATGAGTTTTCTCATGCACTGTCTTTGCAGTAAGCCTGGGAGGCAACTACCATCCACATTTTGCAGATGATGCAGTGGACGCACAGAGAGGTTAAGCTACCTGTACTTGGTCACACAGCTAAGAGGTACAACCAGAACCACACAGAGCAGGGCAGAAAGCAGAATGCAGGCAGGACTCCCAGGAAGGGAGATCTTGGAAGGCTCCTTGGAAGATCGGGTATACAAGCTTGGCTTTGAAAGGGAGAAAGCACCCTGAAAGAGGGGGCTTTGTTCCTTGAGCTATTGCTCACTACACAGGAAGAGCCTGAATTGGGGGCAGTGCAGGTTGAGATGCTGGAGCAGTTGTGGGCAAGGTGTCAGTTATCAGCCCAAGAGGCAGGATGGAGGGTAGGCACTGTGGTTGAGTAAGGATAGGAACTTGGGCAGAGAAGGCCACACTGCAGAGACCTCTGACTTCCGGTGCCTTCTCAGCTAGATGATGACAGTGCCAGATCCATGACAGATGGAAGGCTCATTTCATAACATCACAGTCAGATGACAACGCCAAAGAGATGACCGAAAGTACCCAGGATAATATAGAAAACTCCGGCAAATCAATACAAAAACAACTATCCAATAGAAAATAGGCACAATTCTCATAAAATGTACCCCCCACCACTGCTACCACCCTAGTCCAGCCATCTCCTACCTGGACCACTGCAGTCAACTTACTCCTGGTCTCCCCACTTCCACTCTCACTACCCAGAGTCCATTCTCCACATACAGCCAGAGGGATCCTGTGGGAACTAAGTCAGATTGTGTCCCTCCTCTGCTCAGAACCTTCCCATGGCACCCACCTCAGTCACAGAAGACAAAGAGCCTACAATGGCCCACAAGGCCTTAAATATTCTGGGCCCATCACCTCTCCAACTTCCCTACTCTCTCCCTCATATCTCTGGCCCCTTGCTGTTCCTCAGACACATTTCTTCCTCAGGGCCTTTGCACTGCCTGTTCACTCTGGCTGGAAGACTTCCCCAATGTACCTTCCCCATCTCCTTCTGGTCTTTACTCAAAGGTCACCTTCTCAGTCCATCACTCTGAGCCTGATACACTTCTCTCCACAGCACCCATTCCATCTAAACAAGCACATACATTTCCTATTCATTTGTTGTCTGCCTCTCCCCAGCAGAACATCAGAACACACAGGTAGGGCTTTGGGTAGTTTTTTTCACTTTGTTATCTCCAGCACCTAGTACAATGCCTGAAATGTAATAGTTACTCAATAAATAGTTGGTGAATTAATAAATGGCTTCAAAAACCCTAGACACTGTACCACCAACTGTGGCTCTCTCTTGGATACAACCGGGGAGACTGCAAGAGATTGCTAAGTAAAATCCACTGTGTGATTCACTGTGTTTTAGTGCTGGCCT